AAAAGGGGCCAAGTCCTAAATGGATACTGATCATACAGCCTGACCTCTGGCAAAGAGATGGGTGTTACTGAAACAGGAGAGCTAGAAGGCCTATCTGGTGACAACAATCAAACTTGTAAGGACTCCTGTGATATTTATGCTACAAAACTTACTGTCCAGATGAACAGAAAAATTGGACAGTCCTAGCACCAACTGCCACTGAGAGACAGAGTGGTATTAGGTATTAATGCTACCAGTAATTTCAGTGTCTGACTCTCAAAACCACAAGTCCTGTTGTCTTTATATACTCGCATCTCTTTGTTTTGATTGCAGTAACAGAAACTTATTGATAATATTATTATCATTTTAATATAAAGAATGAACAATATTTAAAGCATTTCCTTTCAGCTTTCCTAAAGGAGAAAACTAGGGACTTGTACTAGAGCCAGACATTAGCAGAGTGACCCTTTGCAGAAGAGCAATATTCAGGCATTCCCCACTGTATGTCAATAAACAAGCAAAATCAGAACAGAAACAAATTTCAAGGTATCATTTAAACTGCTGGAAAAAACAAGTGTACCAGAAACTGATTTTGCAAACTAAACTTTTACAGCTTTGAATGGAAATAATGTTGGTTGTCCTCTTGGTTTAACTGTGTTCTCCCATACAGTTTTTCAGTTTCCGTGAATTGTTCACCACTGCATATAATAAAAGCACTTAGACTTACCTGAGTGTCCCTGAAAGATTTTATTATCCAACAAATGCAGGCAACAAATTTCTCACTGAATGCGTATTTGACTATAGTTTGTATGTAAAATATTCTCGAGTCACAGTTCCCAACTAATGAGATTTTGATGACAGCATATTTGAGCCAAATCAATGTTCTCTGAAGGCCAGCCTAGGACACTCTGCAGCATGCCGTGAAGAAGCTCTAAAGGCAACCTAGGCAGTAGATGTGGGTGAAGAAGAGCCACATCTAGAGACTGTGGAAAATTATTTATTTGCCAGCTATCAAATTCTGTTGTTTGATTTTTGAGCAAATTGCTAACTTGCTTTGTTTCAGTATTTCCTACCTAAAGGAGTGCTAAATACTACACAGGTGATCATTTGATTCCTTCCTGGAACAAAAAGACATTCCAAATGGAAAGCTGACCTCTAACAAAAGTGTTTGCCTTTTATCCACGTTTTTTGTATTTTGTAATTGCTAGCCTTTTGCAAATCAGACAATACATTCAACTAGAGATCAGGTAACAACTTTCAAATTCAGTAGAAAAGTACAGCAGCATCAAATTAGGCTAATGCGTTTTGGCTAAAGAGTTCTTTCAATCAGTTTTTTTTGTTTGTTTGTTTGTTTTTTGTTTTTTCCCCCCCCCCCCCCCAGTACCGTGACATTGACAATTCCTGGTAGCAGTGTTATTGCAGACATTTAAGTTATTCCAGACATTGAATGCTTGACACATTTCTATGCAACTGAAAAGTATTCAGAGGTACTCAGAGACAAAACAAGGCTTATTTATATACTGTGGATTGATTAAGATCACAGCCTTGCAACTCTTTGAGTACTTTTCAACATAAACTTATAGTGGAAACATTTTTTTTCAAAGCAAGTTCTACAGTTTAATTGCATACTGATCATTGGAAACACTAAGCTTACACTTCACTTCTCCCTGTTCTGTAAGTGCATTTTTTTTTGTGGTTCCTTAGATGGAGACATCCTGGCCCTTTAGATAAATACATTTGCTGACCTTGAAAAGTTATGTAAAGATCCTAAACGTGCTCACTTGTACCTGGGAAATGAAGAATTTCCCAAATATTTTTAAATGTCCAAGGTGATGAATTTAGGAGCCTTTTTTATCTAGCTTTCCCTAGTTCCTTTGTACTTACAATGAGATTGTCTCATAACTTTTTTTTTTTTCTTTACAGATGCTCTCTTCTTGCTTATCAACCATATGTATTACAAAGAGTAGACAGGGTGGGGCGACAGGGACAGTAGAGAGTTGCTGAATTGAAAGGTAGCAGTCTTTGGACCACGATGTTGGGCACAACCATAAGTTGTAGGCTCCTGTTTTAAACCACAAATATGTTAACAAGAGCCACTGCCTGCAGCAGCACTGGGCATCTGGGCTCCCTTACACAGATGAACTGTTGAAACCCAGCACAACTCGCCCTGTGGGAAACAGAACTCAAGGTTAGCACCAAAACCTTCATCAAATCCATTACTTCAGTTTGGATGTTGTGCCTTCAAGTAAAAAGTGATCAGGAATTAAAAAAGCTGAGATACGTAATGAATCATCACACACACACTTGAGGAAAGAGATGCTGTCTCCTCTGGTTCTAGGGTTAATGCAAGTTTAAAACACTTTTCATTAATAGTTTGAAGTCTTACGTGTATTTGGTTTTACCACCCTACCTCTCCATTTGCCTTTTTATGGAAGCTTTTCTGATACTGCCAACAGAAAACTGATAACATACTGGAAATTAACCAGAGTGGAACCCCTCTCCAAGCCTTCCTTCACAAGCCTGATGATGTGATTCATAACCCTTATACAGCTCTTTTCAATGCCTGATCTCTACTGGCACTCCAGCATTTTTGTTGTAAAAATAGTAATTCCAAATTCATATCAAATACAGGAAAACTATAAATAGAAACACTGTTATTCACTATCTACAATTCATATAAAATCCACAGCCTAAAAACATTATTAGTTTGCATAACAGAACACCAGAACTGAGAGAACTCCCGTGATTACTACTTCCTTCCTAAGCCTGTTCTTTGTACAGGCTGGAGTATTAGTTTATTTCGTACAAAAGTATTATGCTTTCATTTAATAAAATAAGTGTATAAATTAAAGTGAAGAGATACATTCACATTTTAATTCTGAATTTGCTTACATTTTTCTACTGGTACCCCAGCCTCTGAAAGCTTGTTATGCTACATAAAAACCCCTAGGATTGGCATCTTCTCCCTCAAAACTTGATGATTCTCTCTAGATTTGGGACTACATTTAAAGGCTTTATTTTTTCCTGCCATTAAATCAAAGGTTTTAGGGGCAGATTTCCTAGGTGAAAAAAAAAAAAATAGATTCTATTTTAATGTTTTCTTTTAAAAAAAGTTATCACAGAATCACAGAATGTCTAGGTTGGAAGAGACCTCAAGATCATCGAGTCCAACCTCTAACCTAACACTGACAGTCCCCACTAAACCATATCCCTAAGCTCTACATCTAAATGTCTTTTGACGACTTCCAGGGATGGTGACTCCACCACCTCCCTGGGCAGCCTGTTCCAGTGCCTAACAACCCTTTCAGTAAAGAAGTTCTTCCTAACATCTATTATATTACATACTTGATCTGTTACCCTTATTGCATAGGTATCAGCAAGCACTTATTTTTGTTGTTTACCTAGGGAAGAACTCTATTTTTTCCACAGAACCATGCTACGTTCATAGAACCCAGAAGCTAGAAAAAAAAACCTCATGATTTTTATATGTTTAATGCAACAAGAGATGAGGGCCTTGCCAGCTCCTCCCCAAGTTGCTGTTTCCAATAGAATTGTGCTTTAAACTGTACCCATTTTGCTCAGCTCAGTACATTAAAAGTAGACCGAGTAAAAAGCAGCTTTAACTTTTAATAACATGAGAATCAGGACTTAAAACAATTAGCTATGAAGCCAGCACTCATGGCTAACGTTTTAGCATTCTCTGCAATACAGTAAAATACTCTGAAGCACTTTTTCAATGTAGTAGCTGAGAGACATCCATCTCCAATATTTAATCTAACTGGTTACGTCGAGGATTAAAGTTGGTTCACTCCTGGCATTTCTATCTCGTCAGTCAGTAGAGAGATTTTTCATGGCTTTCAGCAGCAGAAGTTCAGAAATCCCCTTTGTATCTTATTTTACTTACAAAGACACTTCAAAGATTGTCAGAAAGACTTTTTCCCAGTAGATGAAAACTCAAAAATGTCCAGCTGAGGAAGAAGGGTACAGTTTTGGTTTTGGACTGCAAACAGATGTTTGCTCATAAATATTTTTACTGTTACACAAACTGAACATGTTTTCAGGGATGAGGATCTGCTCCTGAGTGAGATTTCCACTGATAGCAATCTATGGCCCTGATCCTACTTGTACAGTTAGTAGGAATTTTATCGTCGACCACCATGGAAGAGGTTTTTTATGTGCCAGCATTGTTAGAGACACACATAGTATATTAGATACAGCTGGGGGAAAGAAGAGAACCTTGTCTCTTCCAGAATACATTACATCATTTTGTATCTTGCAGCAACGTCATCCGTCCTAGGCATGTGCATGGCACCAATCACCAACAGCATTATCGCTAGGGCACTGGCCTGGTGCTCAGATGACACGGGTTTTGTCTCCGTAGCTGTGGTCCGTTTCCTGTGTAATCATATTTAGACCTTTGGTTTTTCCTGGTACATCGTTCTTCACATTTGAAAATAGGATATAACACAAAACAGCCTACATCTTTTACAGGAATATTGTACCACAACTAATTACAAGGCGCGCAGATTTTAAAGTGATGAACATCAGTATTTCTATGCATAGATTTACCGGTAAATTATGTTGCAGGTATCAATTACGTGCAACATACTGGAACAGACATAGCTCCAGTTCCTCTAGAGCTAATGACATACTCTAGGTTAAATCCTATCCTCAATGCCACGATTCAAAATAGTTTTTAGATAAATAAAGATAAGCCCTTAGGGCTCCTATCTGACAACTGATCCAGCATGCCTTCATGCTTTTGCATCAAAGTCTACTCCTAACAACTTCAGATCTCCCATTTCAGCCTCTCAGAGAGCAGGTTTTAATGCTTTTGGAAGCAGCTGAACCTTTTTTTTTTTTTAGTCTATAGTCAATTTATCTCTCTACATTTAAAAAAAACCAAAACCTTCAGGAGATATCACTACTCTGCTGCATCACACTGGCTGCTGAATGTGTACTGATGTACAAATTGCTAAAAGTTCTTGGGTTGAAATAAGTTACTGCAAATGCACAGTAGCTGATTTTGAAACCACAACATCTCTACGATTTATTATTATTTTTACAAAATACCCAAAGTGATCAGACCATATTGTAGGTTACTGGCTTGCCAAAGGTTATGTTTTTAAATCAAAACCATTTCTGAGTTACAGAAGTGCCAAAAACAATCTTGAACCAGTTTTGTTTTGTTTTGTTTTTTTTAAAACCAACCCCCATCCAACAAAACAGTTGTATAACTTAAAACAGAAACAAGAGTTTGTGTTGGAAACTGTTTAAAAACCAACCCACCAAATCATGCTTGAGCAGAAGCCTTGTATGGCAAAGATATAGCTTAGGGCAATTTAGTGCCAAGATATAGACCCGCTATGGGTTTATAATGGAAATACTGACACAACCTCAACTATAGTGATGCAAATGTGCCCTAAAACACTGTATTTGCTTTTATTAATAAAGTGGTAGTGTTTACATTTGCAGGTATCTTACACTTCAGCATCACGATGAATACTGAGTAGAATGAGTAAAGTTTTGGCTGTAAGGTCAGAAGTTTCCAAACAGATCAATGAGACAGAAGTGAAAGTCCTCAATCATGAAAACAAGAAGTTCAAATAAATAAATAAAACAAAACTAGGAAATACGGGTAAGCATTAGGTTGGAATGGTTCAATTAACTGCAAATTATGGCCACTAAATTAGAAAGACATAAGAAAACACAGTAACTTATTAAATAGCAAGCATTAAAGCTTTATGTTTTTTGTATTAAAAAAAAAAAAAAAAAAAAAAAAAGCTGTTAAAAATAAGACTTGCATTTACCAGGCCACCAAACTGCATGGACTAATAAAGAGACTAACAAAGGCAATACTGAGACATTAAGACACACACACACTCCATACTTGTGCAACTCAACCATAGTCAAAACAATTGCCTTTATCCTCACTTAAGAAAGGAAAAAAAGTCCCCTAAGCATTTCTGTTCATATAAAGCTTTATAGGAAGGTTTCTTAAACTGTTTTTCTTATATAGCTCATCGTTATTATGTACCCTTCTCATTATTAGAGGAAGAAGTTGATTTATTTTTACTTTTATTTTTTAATGGAGATGCTTTGTTTCTCTCAACGAGAGATTACATTCCTTACACCACTGCAAGTTTTCCCCATTTATAAATTTGGTGTTTACACCATGTCTTACTAGGCTTAAGAAAATAAGGGTTGGCACTCAATTAAAGATTTTGGCTCCTGTAACTGGAATTAAGGCTCACAATGAATTTCCTTTCCACTAAGTGTCCCCCATTTTTACCTATAGGAAACACCAGCCCTTAGCCTACAGGCACTGGATACATTCTTAAATCAAAGGGGGCCATTTTCAGTCATTCTCTCTCACAGTTCTATGAAGTTTAGGTGGCAACTCCCTAAACATGTGAACAGGAAAGATCCTTTTTCAAAAATGAGTATCAACTGCAGCTGAATTTTTTACAAAATTTAGTGTCTTCTGAAAGATCACTACTAACGTTGAGTTGAGAGAGATTGGGACATTAAATCCATCAAGTCCCCAACTGCTCTTAACATATCTGAAAATGGATGAGGCAATTTATTTTCATTTAAAAGTTTAGCCACAAAAGCAATGAAAACTCACAATCCTGAACAGTTTCAGTTCTTAGTATTAAAGGCATCTGATACCTGAAGCAAATCTAGCTGCACAGACACCACTGACCACACCCTAATTTAATTTAAACTGGACCTTTTCCCAAAAAAGAAACTTAACACAGGATCTTGGATGGAGGGAAGCTAGTGTGAAAGGCAAAGAGGCAAGTATTTTTGTTTGTTTTCCTTTTAAAGTCACTGCATTAAGATCCAGATCAGTTTAGGGGTGTAAATGAAGGGGAAACAGGGATGCTTGAGTAATATAGGCTAACACTGTTCTAGATGTGTTATTACAGTTGTAATTTCTGACTCTGTACAAATTGTACACGTAGGTTTAGACACATGAAAAAGTAACACACTCACAGAGACATAAAACACCTAGGTATAAAATATAAAGCAGTGTAGTAGTTACTAAAATTACATGCTCTCTTATTGCTACAGTGATTTTTGCTCTTTTTCTTTTTACTGTACCACATGTTGTTCTAAGCATATAATTTGCATAAATTATTCAAGTTTAAGAAAAATCCACACATCTTCACTTTAAGCTACTTATATAGTTAATATAAAACAAAAAGGTTCTAAAGTATCTCTTTATTAAAAGAGAAATAAAAATGTCATTTGAAACTGGAATTCAGTGGCCAAATCCAAGGGCAGTGCACACCTTGTCATTCTGGTAGTATCATGCCCACGCAGTGTAAGTGGAGGTTGGTGGGGTATTTGGCCCAGTCTAGAGATGGTCACCAGACCTGCATGATGCCCTATGTGTTTGTTATTGTTCTGTTTTTGTCTTCAGCAAAAAGGACTATGAATGACCAAAGACTAACATTTATAATTTGTAGCAAAATTTGGTTTATGTAGAAACAAGCCATGTTTTGCATTTGGATAGAGATTTAAATGAATTAAAGCTAAAATTAAAAAGCATGATGCTGCAACATCTGGTCACTTGTTGAAGACCTCACTTTTAAAGTGGTTAAGTTTGCACAATTTGTACTTTTTTCTTTTTTTTTTCCTTTTTTTCTTTTTTTTCCTTTTTTTTCTTTTTTTTACTAAACAGTATTTTTCCTTCTTTTATAAACCAGAAAAACTAAACTACAGATAAATTTTCCCTACCTTGAGCTAATGCTGCAGATAGGGTTGACAAAGCTGTACAGCGCAATCAAACATACTTACATCTTAGCTCATTGTACAGGTACAGCCATAATCAAGGCACAAAGATCTTCTACAAGTTATTTTTTTTTCAATAAAGTTGTACAAAATAATACATTTTACAGTCTGTACAAGAATAATAATCCAGCAGTAAAATAAAAAATGAGGGGAGGGAAGAAGAAAAAGAAGGGAAAGACTGTGAGGACTACAGTCCAGATAATGATTTTTATAGCAGACGGGATCATCAGTGGACAAACTGAAAACAGTGTGTGGTTAACTCTTTCTGCAATCACAGGCCATATGCAGTTCAATTCGTAAATGTCCATGGTTGTCTTAAGACCACCAAGACTGGATTTAAAAATACCCTTCTGAAAGGTAGCAGTTGGTTTTTGCACTGTCTAGGTCTGTTGTAGAATTGTCAGTATTTCCGTTCAAAGCCACATTACAGTCAGAGAACCAAACTCAAGTGTGTCTTCAAACTTGGTCTGTGACTTGGCACCTTCTTTGTCTGATGCAGTGAATGATACAAAGTGGAGATCACGGGTTATATGATTATGCCCACAACAGTGCTAAATTACCTAGTTTTCTCTCCCCAATTTTTGTTTTATGCTTTAAATTTTAATCCCCAATTCTTTCAGGTGCTCCACATTCAGGACTTTTAATTAATTAGTTTTTATTTCTTTTTTTTTTTCTTTCTTTTTTCGTTAATAACAGTGTTAGGGAGTCCTCATGGAAATGGCCTTTTAAGTGTTAGGGGCCATCTCAAACTGTCCGAGGGGTACAGAAGCAAGCTTAGAAGTGCTGCTATTGTCCAGCAAGGAGAAAAAGTTGAGGGGTGCAAATCAATGGGAGATTCAAACAGTTCTCTTCCACCCTTTGTGGGCAAGGGTGTTTTTTTCTTTTTTAATAAGGAATAAGGAGTCCAAAACACAGAAAAAAGTGCTCTCCATCACAACAACTCGTATTGGCGAAGGTGCATGCGCTGAATAATGTCCCGACAGTCATTGAAAACCCTCCGGATGTTCTCTGTATCCACTGCACACGTGAAGTGAGGATAGCAATAGTGCCTTCCATCTCCACTTGCTGTGCTGATTCTCTGTTAAGAATAATAGAGAGATACAGGGTTACAATAAGGCTGGGGAAAACCAAAAACTTGTTCTCAGATGAATGAAGGTTAAGATAGGAACATGTAAGCTGAGCTTTCGAAGGGTGTAACTAAGTGGCAAAATGTCCACAATTTCTCACTTTCTCAACTAAAATATGAAAATTAAAATGATCGGAATTACATGGTGAGAAGGGCACTGAGTTCCAGGGAATTCCACAGTGGAAAGGGAGCTCATGGAAGTTCTATTACTTGTATGCACATTTGGTGAATTTAGCTGCACAACCATTAGTGAATGTTGTCTGTAAACGAAGTGGGATTTTGCCTCACTGTACAAGCTTTCTAGCCCCGTTTTACACTTATAAAAAGCCTCTCTTCAAATTTTGTTTTGTTCCAATTTAAAATGAGTCAATAACTTCATTGCCATGCTCAGCATTACAATTAAATTTAATACTTTAACAATCCTATGTCTAGTGTAGCTGTAGTTGACTAGTAATGGAAAAGATAACATGAAAAGAACATTAATATTTTGCAGATGATGCATATTTTCATTACTCTTTGTCTTTAGAAACGATATATGGAATAAAAGCCTGGCCCCACTAACAGCAGCAAGGTTTCACTCGTTATTCTTCATTTGAAGTTCCTTAATTCTCACCAATGCTTTTGCTGTTTAATTACATACCGTGTCAACAAACATATTTGAAGAGCAGCTAACAAACAGTGGTAAAGCTCTTAAACCTGTTTTACGCAGTGCAGACATTAAATATAAATTACACAAGACATAGCAGCATTTTGCAATATTAAAAAGTACCTAAAAGCTTATATTTGAAAAAAATCACATAAGAAATACTGAAGGAAAGGAAATACTTACAAGAAACTCATCTCTAATAAAATACTTGGCCCTTGTAACTCTGGGATCCTCACCAGGCTCTGGTATTGCTGATTAATAATAAAATAAGCATCTCATTAAAACAGATGTTTTTTGCCAACAGCGCCTAAAAATCATAACTTGCTCTGTTTTCTGCTCATATGTGATAGAAACATATTTTTCAAAACTATGAGATAAAACAAAGTGTAACATATTTAAAACAGCAAGATTACAGTAGAACAAAGGAGAATTACAGTGTCCATAGTATCAGACATTTGTCAGGTAAGAAAAATGACTGCAAATACGACAAAGAGGAGTCCATTCTTGTGACTACTGGGTCTCACACTGCAATAGCTGGGGAAGAGTACTAGTGATGTTACAGGTAAACTGTAATGACAAATGACTGTATTATATTTATTACTGGTCCATTCATGTATAGATGTACATATTTGCACAGTACTGTGAGGAAGACCCTTCATTATAGGCTTTCTATTTAAAAAAAGGATCAGTTTGTTGACTTATGGTAACTACCTCTGACATGAGGGTCAAAGTTGGTTCTGTTGGTATTCATTAAAGATTACTAGAGGACTGCCCCTATAGTATTAGTGTAAGCTGTACTGTAGTCCACCAGCAAAGAAACAGGATTTTGGCATTAATATATTACATGCATAAAAGAGGACTGTCCCATTATTAATACCTAAAATGGAATAGAATAGTTCTAAAGTCCATCTAGTCCAATTACTTGATCACTTTGGGGCTAACCTGAAGTTAAAAAGTTATTACTGAGGGCATTATCCAAATGCCTCTCAAACACTGTCATGCATGGGGCATCAACCACCTCTCAAGGAAGCCAGTGTCGACCAACCTCACAGTAAAGACGTTGACCTAAAAAAACTAATGTCCTGAACCTCCCCTGGTGCAGCTTTTTGCCATTCCTTCACATCCTAAAACTAACATTACTCGCTGGCTGAAAAACAATGAAGGAATATTTATACTTGGAGTTTTCAAGTCTTAGCTGAAAATACCAAAAACATTAAAAATGTGATTAATAACAAAATGATGAATTGCTGATAAAACTTAAATAGTCTTACCATCATCTGGTGTAGTGTAGCGAGCAAATTCTGGAAAGTAGTCTTCAATTTTAGATTTCCCTGCCAAAACTTTCTCTGCTAGCAAATCTTGTTTATTCAGGAAGAGAATTACTGAAATGGTCCGTAGCCACCTATAGAAAATTGAAGCCAGACACTCTGAGATGGCATAGCTAGGATCATTTATTAAAGCAAACAAACCATCAAAACTAACACGTAATCTAGTTCTGGAGACAACATACTCAAATGACACTATAATAATTGTGAAAGGTTTCTCTTTTACACCTTAATCCAGTGGTGTAATTCAGGGTGTATGCCAAGTTTGGTTTACAAGGTTCTAATGTGGGCAATGAAATTTGCCCACTTTCTACTGTTAATCCAACTGCAACAAATAGGTGAGCTTATAGTAGTAAATTAAGAAGTGGTTACCACTGCTTTAATTACTTCACCCTCTGTAGGGCAACTACCAATTTGTAACTCTCCAGACTGTTTTTCAGTTAGAGTGTATGAGACATTAATGAAGCAAGTAAACAGCTGTGATCAAAGACTAGCTTAGATGGTGTGAGAAGAAGCAAAATAACGTAGGCTACTTTGTATGTGATATTATTGATTTATGTGATATTAACAACGAAACCTCAATTCACAGACCTGTTGTTCCAGATACTCTTGAAGAGGTTTAGTGCTTCTTGAAGCCGATTGGTCTGATTGTCCTCTCGTATAACCATGTTGTAGCTACTGCTGGCCACCACAAATATGATAGCAGTCACATCTAAAGCAAGAAATATCCATCAGTTAATACCAAACTTCAGAAGAAACATCCATGAATTCTAGAGGTCAACCAAAAGCTGCTGAATTTTCAGCTTTATTAAGAGACCAGACTGGAAAGTTATAGATTACACTTTCTAAGTACTGAAAAAAAACACACATTAGTGATAGGAAAGTGTCAGGCCACAGAAGCTGAAACGATGATAGAAACTATAAAAATGAAAGGAATAGAAACAAGAGTGAAAAACTGAAGAACGCAAATAAGATAATTTAAAGGATACTCAAAAAACTGTACAGAAATTTAGAAAGCAATTCAGAGCAATCAGGAAAGGACACGGAGCCCAGTGGGGCTGCATCCCAGGAAAACAGCACTTTTGATCTGTGTGAAGAGTAGTAAGAAGAATAGTAGGTTGCTATACATTCGTGGTTCATTGTACAGTGTACTCAAAGGCTCTGATCTCTTTCTTGGGATCTGTTCATAGGATAACAGAATTCTGATTTCTGTGTGGCTGTGCTGCTCCAGACCTCTTACACTGACTTCCAAGCTCATCTGCCTCAGACATCAACAGCAGAAGAGATGAGTCAGATCATGAGGTAACAGGAAAAGGAAGGAGCAGAGGTAAAAACCAAACAAGTCTGTTATAAATAGCACAGACGAAAATATTGCACAGTAGTTCCACATATAGTGAGAGGGTTCAGATGGTACTCTGACAGCCACTGCAGCGAAATGAGTCCTAAGTTGCATTCTACCTTATCTCTGCTGTACGATCTCATTATAACTTTTCTAGAAAAAGACAGACTTTAGCATAGCTTCATAAATATTTTGTCCAAACAACAGAGAAAAAGAAGAAAATATTTTTCACCAACTGTAAGAAAACTTGTATGTAGAAAGGTTTCACATCTAAGCAGAGATAGAGTGAAATACATGCAACACTTTAGGATACATACAAAGCTATCTAATTTAAACTGTATGGGAGTTACGAATATAATCCTCTAAAATAAACAGACTAGAACCTCACTCTTCAGACTCCAGAGCTCACAAAATACTTGCACAGATTTCAGGTCTTACCCATACCTGGTTTGGTGCTGTGTTAGCATTCTAAGGAAACTAGCAGGTTATTTAACCGAGGGTATTGATTTATGTTTTCAGCAAGGACCTTCCCCTTATGTGTGTTTTTGACAAAACATGCGTGGCTCCCCAGAAAGGTGCAGATTTATAAACCTCATCATAATTTTTTCACAAGGGTTGTTTTGGGGCTACACTACACAATACTCTAGTGTTTTGCTTCCCGTTCGTTACATTGTGTCTAAAAAGACAAATTTTCCCTACAACCTCTTACCGCATGAGTGTGCTGGTGCTGATTTGGAAAGAAGCACCCATGACATAACAATGGGGATGCAATTATGCACAACAGTATGACATTCTGATATTATACCTATATTAATTATATTGTAATTGTACTTGTTATATATGCACGAACACATGTAAACCTTCACTTTGAAGGCAGAATCTCTCCGTCTTTACTCAGTTGACAAATGACGCACAAACACTCCAACAAAAGAACTACTTAAATGAAGGGAGGGAAGCTGACGAAGATCAACAAACTGTGAGGTTACCAAGCTTTAATTCCTTTCCATTGACATTCTCCCTAAAGACCACAGTTAGAGAAGTTTACGTGACAAGAAAAATTTCACCCCGTGTGACTGTTTAGAGAATTCCTTAGCAAGCTACATGGAAAAGATGATGGCTTTCATAAGGTGATGACATAAGACTGCACGTTAAGATTTTGTGGATAAGTGTTTTATAAAACAAATTCTAATCATACCATTAAAACACTGGATCCATTTTCGGCGTTCATCTCGTTGTCCTCCGACATCAAACATACTAAGAAAAAAAAAGCATAAAATGGGTCACAATACTTCCCCCCACCCAAATGCAAACAGAACACGTAAGAAATTTTAGGACTTCCACGTCCTAGAAGCCAAAAGAAATTGAAGATTCTGAGAAACTTAACAGGTAACGGTCCACTGACACATGCAAGCAGAACTTTCATTGCAAAATACAACCGTTTGCTCTCACCAATATCTACAAATAAAGAGTAAGAAATTCTGGTGCATGTGCATTGCATATTCATTTTCACCCTTACAAACTAAGACAACATAAAAAAAAAAAAAAAAAGGTCCTGCAACAAGTCATTTATTGAAAGAAGTATCACAGTCAAACAATCTTTCTAAACTGGCACAATACAGAGAGCATATATTTTCTGCTCTTAGGTATTGTACAAAGCTTTTGGTAAAATATTTTACTATCTAAAATAGCACTGAATCAAATAGAAAAGGCATTAGTAAAAACATTAAAAATATTTTGTTCTTTGTCATCTAAAATGAAAGCAGAAAATCGCATGCCAACTTGAATTTCTTTTTAAAATATGTCTACTAAATTCAAAGATCAGAAAATGTTTTCAATTAAACATCGACTTGAGAAATACAAAAAGAGTCTCAAGGATTATACGGTATTCTTTCCTCCAATTTAGCCTCCTTCTTATCTATACTGTATTAAGAAGAGGAAAAAAAAAGGAAAAAAAAGGAGGATATACTTACTGAAAATTTACTTTGTCCACCTGAAATTTGGTTTCAAAAATTCCTGATGTCAAAACTCTGCATCTGAGAAGATCCTATAGCAGAAAGGAAAAGTCATTGATTCAACACATACTTTATAATTCTTCACATATCCAGCAACAGCAAGAAAAACCTTTTACTTAGTGCTGAGAGTGTGCTACAAAACAGAAAAGAACATCATCAAGCTGTATTTAAGTTTCTAATCTTGAAAACATGCACACAAATAGATGTGTGCTCAACTTGAAAAGCACATATATTCTCACAAGCAAGCTGCAAGTGCCAAGCTTGGAAGAGAAGGAAACATTTAAAGGCCACTCAAAGCAAATGCAAGAGCTCAGAACAGTGCAGAATCATCACTGGAGATCTGCCTTCACTGAATTCAGTGGGATTGTGGCACACGATAGGACCTTTAAGCAACTGCCAACCAATTCCCAACCCCAAAAGATAGGTCTCCCCCCCCCAGCTACTCAGTGCTTGGCTATTGAAAGGAGTGTTGAAGTCTCAGGCTTTTCCTTTTTTTTTTTTTTTTTTTTTTTTCCCCCTAGAAGAACTACAAATTCAACCACTTAGATCTTATAAGAACGATTTTTTTCAAAGATAAAATCTGAAATCTTCACAAGAGCTACAGAACTGTTTAAAAAACAACTGTATTGGAATTTATTCGTGTCTACTGCAAAGCAGCGACAGCCCTACATAGGTAACATCTGCCAGCAGAACCTACTTTGCATAGGCTTCAAGTTCAAGTCACAGTCCAATTGTGACTTACTACCAAATACCGCTTTGAATTCAATTAAAGGTTTTGTAATTTAGGACTCGAAGTTTTGGTGTTCTTCCCAGGAGATCTAAATAGCAGCTAAATTGTAGCATTTGCAGAACATAGACAAGATCACACAAATGGACCAGACTGCAAAAAAATTTACATGCACACTACAAGGTATGTTCTTACTACCTAGGTACCCAACTGGTCAGGGAAAGCCCAAACGACACAAAATCCGAAGGTTATAGAACACTGTTCAATCATTAAACTAAGTGGCTACATTTTAACATCATTTTTTTTTGAGACTGAATTAATGTTGACTGGGTATTTTAAATACTCATATTGAAAGCTGTATATATTTAAACATTGTTCCAATTTGATCCGTGTGTTTGAAATAATTTGAAAACTGCAACACTTGATACACAGAAACAAGCTTGGAAAACTGGATTCTCAGGAGCTCTGCATCCCTAGAAGTCAATACAAATGTGACAGAAAAAAAACAACACCTACTCTCAAAAAAACAAAAATCAAACATTACACTCAATAGTTTTTATGACAAACACATAATGCCCCAGAGAATAATCCACATGGGCCTGTTTTACCAAAAGTTTGTGTGGAGATTGAATGCAGGCAGTGCCCCAAGAGGTGTTCTTTCTGTTACTTACAACAGTAAAAGTAGGATTGTTTTATTTAGGTAAGTAGTTAAGTAGTTAAATAACTTTCCTCGTCAATATTATTTGCTAAATTTGGGATATTAACATCGTCTTTGGTTATTTATCCTACAAGAGTACACTATATGCTTTATTGCATTTCTTTTATGGGCAGAAAGTTAGGAATACGTACGTGATTTTAGACTAGAGACTTGGTCTTAAAGAATATCCTCAAATTCTCTGTAACAAAATGAAGACTACAATTCCTATTCTGATACAAAATAAACTAACAAGGCCATTTTTACAACATCCCTTTTCTATTAAAGCCCATGGAGTCATTTTATTGTGAGGGGAAATTCACCAAGTTCTACATGAGTAAGAATATGGAGCATGCTTAGATTTACCACGCTTTCTGCAAGTAAGAGCTAGATAACACAATGAAAGAATTAAAACTCAGATTTCTATCTGCATTCAGGAAAGCCTATTTTCAAGTATGTAATTTAGTAACTCGAAAAACTGATCTTCCCTGAAGGTAAACAGGATCTTGCAAAATGTGCCCTTTTCCACTGTACATCAGATGGACATTTCTGCTCCTTGAAATATAACCGTGGAGTCTGCAGTCCAGCCACAAGGCCAGATCTGCACATGGTCTCACTAAAATGCCATATGTGTCCTTCTAGCAAGTGGTAAAAATAGGATAATCTGCTAGCTTTGAACATACAGTATTTACTGTTGGCTCAGTGAATGCACTGATCCTAATTAGAAAATGAGTCTAATTAGTAAAGAAAGTTTGTCTGATTTGAAATTGTCTTTAATTACAAGATGTACCATTTTTAAGAAGTATCTATACTTCAGAAAAAGATGTACTGACATACTCGTACCTGGAAAACTCTATTGCTATTTATGTTGCTATTCCTTCTATTTATCAGGAAGGACATATGAAAAGGAATACACCATTATTTTTAATTGTGAATAATGTATCTTCCTGCTTTTCTGGATATATGGCACACCGAAGGAGATGGTGTGGTTGAGAGGATACCAACCAACTTTGCATCAAGGGAAGCACATGGCAGTTATTCAGCAAGGAGGGCAGAACATTAGAAATTACTTATTCAAATGAACATCTGAATTATTGTGTTGCTAAAGTATAACATGCCTTACATCTAGACAGATTTTCATTTCACAGTACACATATATGTTTAAGCATGACCACAATCCTAACGACAAAGTAACTTTTACTGGAATATTGTACTTGTTCAGTGCATGGTAATAACTACATTAGTGCCATAAATCGCAATTGGAAAATTAGAGAAAAAGATATCCTCGAAGACAGAGGGTGCAGATAAGCTGTATAATTTTTTAATGCGTTTTACTTACCTGGTCAGACGGTGTATACTCATTTTGTTTGACTATGTCAATCTTGTCTAGAAAACTAGGGAAAAAAAAAGAAAAGAATAATTTGGCATTCTCAAATTAGACAAACTTTCTGATGCTTAATTAACTGACAGCTCCCAAGTAACAGTTGATAAGTTTTATTGCATTCAGATTCACGAAGTGTTGAATACATGTAAATTGCTGAACATACGTGTGCTAGCATTTACATTGTGCATCTCCTAGCAGCACCCAGCAGAGGGCCGAATTCCCAAGTTTTATTCAGCAAGCCTGCTCATCTCATTCCAGCCCCCTCCCACTCCGCTCCCTCCGGCAGCAAACACGCACGTAGTTTAACTTGGGTGATATTACAAAAACTGTACAGCATAGTCTGCTCCTGCTAACAGTAAAACAATGACTCAAATAATCTGCCTGCATATAATATTCTAGAAAGTAAGACGAATATTTTTATGAATAAATGTATCGTCACTGTGTCTTTTAATAAATGAAATCCCTAAACTGATTTCATTGCAGTTAAGTGTAAGGGAACACTGATTTTGTTGTCACCTGTTGGAAAAGCTTTTCAGCTTACTTTCTGCAGAAGTAGTACTAGTAGGCACAGTTATAAAGTACGTATAAGAAGGTTTATTTTATTCAAAAATCATTAGGCATTAGTTAAAGGAGCTATCTTGGAGCCTTTAAAAATGCTTTTGCCAACTTGCTGTAACCTTCTAATTATCTTTAACTCAAAGGGCAAAAATCTCAAGGAACCAATTTGTTTTACTGTGCTGTTACTCTAAGATTCAAAGACATAAAAAAACAAGTTTCAGAACACAGATGTTATGCTATAAGTACTCTGACCACCTTGCTTAATATCAAGTATGCATCAGGGTTATGCAGGACCTGACACCTTTCATTTTGTACTAGAAGGAGACCTCAAAATGCTTCTACAGTTAACTCTACTGGTAACATTACTGACTAAAATATATTGGTTTTAAGACTAATTAAGTTTCCTTTTAAACTCCAGTGCATGAATTCTTTTCCTTATGAAGCAGAAATCACAGAGAAAAGATGAGTTTTCTCAAAAGAAGATTTCCCTTTGGATTCCTATTCCTAGAAAGGGACACTGAAACTGCATTCACTATGGTCATGCTCAATGATTTAAAGGGGGAAAAAGGTAGCCAAGTCCCAGCTTCACAGATTGGAAACCAAAATGCCATTAAAATTGGATTGGGTAGCCCTCTAAAATAGCCCTCTGTTTCAGCCCCTACTTCTCAACAACTCCCTAAAACACAGTGCAGGGGAAGGGGAAAACAACTGGATGTTTTAACAGTGGCTTCAGGGTAAAGGCATTTTTGCCAGGAACTAGATTACCTTCTTGTTTCAGAGACAAATGAAAAATAAGTTTTGTTTCGTCTGAATTACAGACTTTAAAACACATCAAAACTCATCTTAACAAACATACTATTAAAAAAGTGAGACGTAAAGTTCAATTTCTGTCATGAAAGATGATGTGGACACAGGCAAAGTTAAAATTGATCACCAAATATGTACTGAAATTTACAAGCTGGAGTTTTTCCTCATCTCTTCCAAGCTGTTAAATAATACCCTCTTCTTTTTAACCCTTAGGAATAGAAGTAAAGTGTTTTGTTCCGTACACGGGGGATGTTAAATAGGGATGACAATCATGAATTCCAACTAGCACAAACGCTTGCACATTAAGAAGTGCTCTCTTAACACCAGTCTCAGAATCACACGGTGATTTCACAAGTTGGAGGATGCTTGAAAAATGATCATAACATAACACGTGCATAGAGACTTTGAAGTGATTACTACGATGTCCCAGCCTTTCTGTACTGAATTTATCTGAGCATAACATTTCACGCAAGGTTCCACAAAAGGCTTTTTTTTTTTTTAAAAATAACACACTGCTAATCAGCTTAATGGATTTTGGAAACTGACAATTAGAAAATAACAACAAGATATTGCTACAACCTGGAACTGAAAGTACAAACCTCTTACTGTTGTTTATGCAGACTATTTTTAGGCCTATGATTTCCTTGAAAAACATCAGCCACATAGGAGCAGCAGTACTGTACTTGAGATGAATTCCAATAGCAACGTTCATGCCAGGTAAAACAAGTTCAAATGGAATAAACATTTCTTCTTCCCTCCTAAATAAGTTCCAACGTTCACTAACATCTGATACTCGTAACAATACGAGTTCAAGAAGAAAGTCTTTCAGTGTGTGATAGTAACCAGAAAACCTTCACTGCTTCCAGTGGCATTTTAAGGAAAATGGAGCAAAGCAGCATGTTAAATGAGGATTTCCTCCTGTGCATATCCCTTTTCACAAAAGTCTGCTCTATCAACTCTAGAATGGGCTAAAGACATGAAAAACAGTTCGATCTTTTGCACAACTATTTAAAAAAAAAACAAAAAAAAAAAACAAAAAACCAACATACATATAATTCTTTCAATTGAACAACTTCAAAATAAATGTGGTCTAAAATAAGGAGCAATGCAGGAACATGAGAGTTCAGAAAAGTTCAATACACTGTGTTCAAAGAGGTCTGTGCCATTGTTCGTCCAGACCAAATAATTTATCCAGTAAATGGAACTAATAATCAAGTGAGGTGAGAACAAAGCTTAATTCAAAATGAAAACAAATTCACCATCATTAATTTTTATTTTTAGTTCTTGTTATACTCTACCCAAAACACAAGTGAGGCCATTTCAGTACTACCTTGTGTGCTGAACTCACTGCTGGTGGATTGTTCTAAGTCTATTGGAGATATGCCCATCTGCTACGGCAGCAATGAATTTCATGGGGAGAAGGCAAAAAAAAAAAAGCTACTACTGAAATAATTCAAATAAAACTCTCAAGCCACGAACCCAAATTTTAGACAGAGTAAGTTTTGCACTAAGTTACAAAGTCAGTTTTTTTCTTCTGTAAAATTTTCCCAGAGATTATATGGGAAAGCTATTTTCCAGAAAGCAAATCATCCATTCAGCATTACTGCCAATTCTCACTTAGGGCCAAATTCTGGACATGACTAAATAACAGCTATTGCTCTGCAAAATACTGTCACTCAGTATAAGGCGCTTTTGCCTGTATTATTTATTTAAAAAGAAAAACTGCTATGTTGCTATGACACATTAAAAAATAAAATAAAATATTTTAGGTCATTTGTAATCAGCAGTGCCGTGGTAGAAGCATCTCCAGGACAGCAGCAGATGTGTCCCTAGGATATTAAAATGCAAGGTATTAATAAAAAATTTAAACGATCTGAAATAAAAAAAAAAAAAAAACACACTTTATTCTTGGATCCCTTTCCTCAGCTTGGGGAAGGAAAAATGCATGTGAAATGTTTTAAACACATCTTTGAGAAGAATCCAGTTTCTTTAACAGCAAGGGGTGTACTTAGAAAGCAGGTTTCATACAGACACACAGAAGCTTTCTTTAGCTCCCCCACAACTTAGGTCATACATGTAACCCCAACTCTTTCCCAGTTTTTTAGCAAGCCTATTATGCCAAAATCATGTCTCAATTTTCTCATCAAGACGTATGCAAATTTCTGATTAGTTCTGGAGTTCTTCTGTGATACAGAAATAACTGCTCTGGTTTTGCTTTATTCCTCTTTGGGGGGAATTTACTGAACGAGCAATGCTGCTGCAAGGCTAACAACTGCTGTCTCCACTTAAAGGTATGCAACACATTAAAGCCTCCACCTCAACAAAGAGCACAACTTCACCATTTGGGGAAAAACAGGGAGGGGAAATTGGGCTGCCTTTCCTTAAGCATTTCCTGACTGTCTTTTCAATAAACAGTAACTTGAAATTTCAGTCTTTGTGATTTGATGAAACGGTTGACAGGCAAGAAAAAAAATCTGCTCTATCAAGACGAGCTTTTGTTTTCAATCTACAGTACCACTGCAAAGGGCTCTTCAAACTGACAGCGTACCTGTGTTTGAAAAGCTCTATTCCCATTAGCTTTTTTTTCTGTCAAGTCATAACCTGAATTTGTATACAAAATGTCTCTCTCTTATGACATACTAAGATCTCATCTTCTGCATGCTGCGCATCAAGATTCAAAAATTCAGTCCCAACTAAATACAACATTTGTTTGTAACTCAGCTCCTTCGACACTAGTACGGGAACTTTGTGAAGTTTCTCGCCTCTGAAAGCCTCAAGGTATTTTACAGACAGTAAATCATGCTCACGAGTCCTGCCTGCCTCCATTCACGCTGCATTTCCTGTCTCTGCCACCACATCCTGAAATACACACCTTATATTAACCTTGTTTTAAAGGTAGGGAAAAAATTTGAGGCACATGAGGAGTACGTTAATTGCCCAGAGTCCCTCGAGTCAGTGGAAATGGAATTTTCATTTCCTCTGAGTCATGTGTTTTTATCAAGATATTACTAAGAATTAACCACACTTATATCTACCCCGATCACCTTTAAAGCAGTCTTCACAATTCATGTTTCTGTGTCTGAAAATAGTATTTGTTTGCTGATCTTCCTAAAGAGTAAACTGTGTAAATGCCCAATAATTTTTATTATTTATTAATACCCTGTCAGGGACTACAAAACTGATCCCAAGCTCTCCAAGGGAGTTTTTAAACTGAAATTTAACACAATCTAACATTAATAGTGTTTATAAACAATAAGGCGTTTTTAATTTCTCTGAACAGATCGAGCTTTAGTTCTACTTCCCTCCCTTTTTAGTGTTTGCCGTAATCCTTCATGCTATTCAGGAAAGGCTTTCTAAGAGCTAAATAGTTAACTATTTGATAAAGTCTTTCTTCAGCTGTTTTGTCCATGCTGAAGCCAGAGTCACAGGATTAGTACAAAGATACAATACTCTCTTTAAAAGGGTATTCAAGCCGAGAAATACGTGATGTATGTACCGTAACTTGAACACAGTTTAAAAAAAAATGTAATACAGAGGCGTTTTCCAAACCCTGAAAAGTCAGGTCTGCTACAGCGTCAAACCCATGGCTGCCCATGCAGACCAACGCACTGCCCGCAAGCCCAGGGCAGAGGCTTTATTTTCCTTTGCAAGCGCGCACGGCCACCTCGACTGCCCTCAGTTCTGTCCGTTCCTGCCACTCCTGGGAGCAAGCAGGGTATTAAGGGAGAAAAGTCCTATTTCTTAAACTGGTCGTAAAGATTTCTTCTACATTTCAGCTGATTTATTTTTGTAAGAGAAGCAGAAAAGCAGGCAGAGTTGCAGGAACGGCGTAAATAAAACAAGCAAACATTTGATCTGCTAGTATTTATGGTATCCTGTGAACATGGATGTTACATGAAACCAAACTTGTCATGTTTTTCCTCAAAACGCAGTTAAAATTAATATTGGGGCATTAATAGACTTTGTTTGTTTTTAAAGCTACACTGGTATTTGCTATGATTTGCAAAGCTGCAACGTTTGCTGTTTAGGTGCTGGTAGAAGACATGCCATGAACGCGTTCCTGGGTAATTTAAAACGTTCAGAAAGGCACAGTTCTTTTTTTCCCCTAAGCAAAACTAGATAAGGGGAGGAAAAAAAAATAATTTTGCAATTACTTTAACCACTTCCCAAAGAAAATGAAGAAATCACAACCTTTGGAGACAGGCACATGCAGCCAGTACTGTAACAAACATGACTGGTGTAAGTGCGAGAGCACTGTTATCGCGTGTAAAAATATCTCCGATACGTTGTTCTCATAACGAAATTCTGCATGGCAGCTCTCAGACATGAGGACACCGTTCGAAACCAGATTTATATTGCAAATGGACTGATTTGTAGCACAAGGCTCCAGCAGACACAAGCCCAAAGGTAACTCTTCAGAAAAGCTTCCCAAGAAGTTGCAAGTATTTTTTATTTCCAGCTTCAGGTCAACTGGTTATTGGGACTTCCTTACCGAAGTCGCCAGGCACACAGAAGGGGTTTAAGGACGAGGTGAAGCTCCGAATGGACTAGTGGAGAGCATTCACGTGGCCCCAGCCCAGCGCAGCGCCTGAACCTGCCGCATTCCAGCCGCTTGGAGGCGGAGGGGCACCATGGCTCTCATTTTGAAGCAAATAATGAGAAAGCTGAAAAGTATGACTCCATATATTTGGAATCATCTTGTGGTAATCAAGGTTACAGTTCCTTATATGGTGTGGAGAACATGAGGCACACATAAAAAAATAGAATATTAAAAGTAGGGGGGATAAAGAAGCGCAACTCTTGCAAAAACCCCGAAGCGCACCCAAGCGACCGAGCAGCAAAGCCCCGGAGCTTCGCACTGCCACGAAATACAAACCTTGCCCTAAAAACAAGGCCGGTTATGCGCCCCGCTTCCCAAGCTGCCTCATTAAAGCAGCGTAGGGCTCCCGGAGGCCGCGAGGCATGAATGAGTTTCAGAGAAACCCCGGCGAACGCAAAGCCTGCCTTCCAAGAAGCGACCGAAAAGCGCAAATGGGGAAAAGGTAGGAGAAAAGGAAAATCTATTTAAAGCAATCGTAGTTGTCTTTTTTTTTTTTTTTTTTTCCTCTTTGCCTGTCTAAAGTTAGTCTGGCTTAGAGGATGCAACTAACTTTCCCAATCAGTTTTACATTACAGCACAAGTCCAGAAATAGCTCCCAGCCGCCTTGGCCTCTAGCACGGTTGCCATGACAATGGAACCACAGCTCTATAAATAGCTCATCAGCACCAAATCTTGTGAGACGCATCTGGAACGGGGCCAGCCCAGCCCCAGCTCGACAAATAAAAATAGGCACAGGCGGTTTTCAAAGGCTGGCAAGGTACAATGCGGCTCGGCCCGCGCCTGGGGATGGGCGGCAGGCAGGGGAGAGAGCCCCAGGGCTCCCCGGCATGAGGGACCAAGGGGTGGCGGGCCGGGACCAGGCCCCACAGCCCCTCACAGCGGGCCCAGCGCTCGGCCCTTCCCTCATTTCCAGTTCATTTCCAGTTCTCCTTCTTCTCCCCCCAGCCTGCAGCAGAGCCGTACGGCTTCTGAGCCCCTCACAGCGCAGTGCAGTGCACGGGAGGCCATTAAAATAAGGCAAAGCTGAAGAAAAGTGATCCTCACGGGTCCCCCCTCTGACTCGTGGTTCGGTGCTCGTGTGAAGCCGGAGGGCTGCGTGCTGTAGCACAGCCGTCCCCCAGGCCGCAGGCACACTGCTCCGCTCCTCGCCTGGACACGGCACGGCCACAATCACGACCAGGAGGTTACAGAGCGAGGGATCCGCGCCCCTACAGCCCCAGGCCTTGCCTTCAGAGGTCGGTGAGGAGCGGCACGAGCCGGCCCCAGCTCCACAGCCCCACTCGGCAGAATTGCCTTTCGAACAAGCGCTTGCTTTCCCTCGGTGGGTGAGAAAATGCAGTATTTTTAGCACAGACTCTTGATCAACCCATTCAATTACATCCAAATTATCTGTGTGGGAACAGAATGTTATGTCAAAAATGTTATTCAGTGTATTTGTCAATATTACCCAACAGTAGGCATTTGTATAATCAGGAGACTCAATATTTTCTGCAGCGTATGAAAGCAACGGTTCAGGAATAAGACTGAAGTTGTACGGCTTGGCAATTTCAGACACGGGAAATAGTAGTCAGTGTGATATAACACAGCGAGCACAACTCTCAAAATATAAAATCTTCGCTGCTCTATCAAAAGCCAATAGAGACTACAGATGGTAATCAAAATACTGCGACTATAATAAGCATTGAAGCCACAGTGAAATATCTTCCGTATGCCATAAAGGCACCAGTGCACGCATTCAACACAAACTGCACCATCAGCCCACAGGATTCCTTTAGGTCCCTACATGGATATTTTCATTTCTAAAAATTGTAGAGTAACTTCCATCCAGGCTTAAATCTGTATGTAAACTTCCCTTCCCTTCCCCCTTCCGTTCACCACATCCAGCTTGCTCATTTGCCAGCCGAACAATGTATACTTCAGAAAACAGCAGTTTTCACAGAAATACTTCTGGAAAACGTACTTTATAACATGTAACGTAATGCGATTCAGGATTTATTGGGTTTTATAAAGATACTTCAAGCTAGTTTAAGAGCCTATAATCAGCTGCATGTTTGGATTGAAATGATATAAAAAAGAACGCTATGTATATATTTCTTCCTAAAGAAAGCAAATTCATAAATAATTATGAGATGGCTCTCTCTGAGTCACACAATGAACAAACCTCATGGTTTTGTAGGGGGGAGAGAGTGAGGCAGAGGGTTGGCAAACAGAAAGCACCACCCGGGGCCCGACCTGGCCACTTGGAGGGGCTGGGCAGCGCCTGCCCGCTCCTCTCCTCGCCTTGGGGCTGCTGTCCCTTCCCGCAGCGGGGCCGGGGAACATCTCGTCCCTAACACTTCCACTAACCGAGGGCACGCTCTGCCCCACACCTCTGCTGGGTGCTTTTCACACAGCCCCCCCTCCCTATCGCTATACAGCGATACACAGAACAAACCCCAACTCTTGAGGCCTTTCTGGCTGCCCTCACTTGTACTTTTCAAACCTGTAGAAGAGGTATTTTCGTCCTCTCATGACTACCAACAGACTGGTTAAAAACAACTTACTCCCAAATGCCCTCAAGGTGCACCCCCGTGATACAAGCCTGTATATGTCCCATAGCTTCACAACAGCCCCTCACCCCGCCCCACATTACTTCACCATGCCAGGAGGAAACTTAAGCTGATCCAAGCCTCAGGTTGGGTCCAGAAATGAAAGGTAACGGTATGAATGAGATCACTGCGCCAGGATTCGATCCCAGGGCAAGCCCGGGGCGGAAACATGGCTAGGGAGTGGGAAGGAACATGGTGCAATCCCTATTATCTTCTGCTTTCTTTGAGGAAAAGAAAAAAAAAAAAAGGCTGCCAAAGAAGTCAAAAAAACAAACAAGGGAAAAGAAGAAGCCATTAAACATTCACACAACAAAATTTCTCAATTCACTTCCCTTTCTGCACCTTTTCTACAACTTTTCTTCACAAATTTTTGTGGTCCAGAGCAACGAGAGACCCAGACCTAACCAACAATCCTGTTTGTTGCAAAGCACAACAAATGGATTGCTTTAGGCATGGGGACTTTAGCCCTTCTCTACAGTTTGAAACGAATTTGTTTGCCTGTCGCCATTTTCACCTATCCCTATTTACAGGCCGGTGTTCTAAAGAAAACAAGAACAGAATTAATCAGGAGGCAAAGTACCAGCTACCTCTGAACAATTCATCTGTTACTGGAAACTGAACGAAAGGGAGATGGCAGGCTCAGCCTGGGGATCTCTGAAGGATTATCAGGCCCTGCACCACCAGGGTACCAGCGACAGAGAATGTGGGAGCTGCAGCATTAAAACTTGAAACTAGTTTTAACCTTGTGCGACCCTCCAAGACCTTCATCGTGCAGAACCAAACTCCTAAGCACTCCATCAACTTCCGTACCTTTTTCAGTTATTTCCGTAAGGGCTCTGAACATTTGTAATTTTAAACTTCACACAGGGAAGGAAAAGCCAAGGATAATACCTAATTGTAAGAAAATAAATTCTATTGCCATGTGTTTTTTTTTTAAGCTATCGATAAAGTCATCAAGCTGGAATAATGAGAAATCCAGTATGGTTGACTGCGAATGTCTCTCCCATTAAATTCCCCACCTTAAATATCCATAGTCTAAATATATTTTTGTTGTGCCTGTTTTCTGGAAGGTAGAAAAAGGTCTTTAGCTACAACGGAGGTCAGTGATTTTCTGTTGTAATCTGTTTTTAATTGTAGACTAAGGTGACAGACCAAATCCAAACAGAGCAGAAGAAACCAACAGAACAATCACAGACTGCATTAGACCAACGCTCAGTGGGGGCTGAACATGGAGGGATATTTTAAATTTAATAATTTCTAAAAACCAAATTAAAAGAAACTTGTACAGTAAGGAAGAGACATTCTCATACAGGTTTGAAAATAGTTTACACTAACTCGAACTAAGGAAACTGTTTAGGCAAAATCATTTAGGCAAAAATCAACATGAATAATTTTAAATGAAATTAAGAAGTGGCTCTACAGAACACAACTTCGTTTGAAAGGCCCCCAGTACACTTGAGTACTTCAATTTCATATTTCTTTTCTAACGTGAACAACCACCCATGCAATTTTCAAATATCTATCCCCTACTGTAGGCTGCTGTAAGTAATTAAGACAGGTGAACCTAATGGGATATCCTTTCATTGTGTTTCAACAAAGCATTTACATGGAATCCTGTCCTTCTGGTCTTTAGCTCCCTCCAGTGCTATCAAATCAGTAGAATTGTGTTCTGTTGATAAAGACCGTCACATATATAAAATTTTAAAATTGAATTTTTCTCACAAAATTAATGACGTCAGGATTTCTAGAAAAAATATTTTAAAAATACAGGATCATTTGGGGACAATTTTATCTTACACAAAATAGAGTGCTTCAATCTTTTGTGTTTTTCACATTGAACACTGAAAATTTAGACAAATGGGACAGGCGTTACTTTATGGTACAAGATGCAGGCACGAGCAATGCTCAGAAGACTGGCTAAAAAGCTGATCTCTAATGAAGTACTTACACTAGCTAGACCAGGCAATGGGAAAATAAGGTGGACTGAAAAAGGTCTGAAAGGGTAAAAAGCTGGTGGTGTCTACAACAAGAGCATCATTTCACTGAAAAAACAGTACTTTCCTTCTACTGGGATGGTGCTGGTAGAAGCGTACTCTCGTTGACTGTGATGGAAAAGGATAGCCAGAAAGTTAACAAACAAACAAAAATATGTATCAAAAAAACAAAGAGCTAGAGCCGAAATAGCTCTATGCTGAAGGCCACAGAATGCTTTACAAGCATTTTTAATTGGTATTTGCACCATGTCTTTCAGATGCTAGAAGAATTAATACACTAAAACCCCATTTGGTTTTGCCATTTGAAGAAATGGAGATATCTGCAGAAGCAGACAAATCAAATCAGACAGCCCCTGCATTCTTCTGCTCGTGTTGTTAGTATACTCTGAGCCCTAACTGCTGCAAATACAAAACCAGGCGCTTCCTCGGCTTCCAAACATCTAAAACCAGGCACCACCATTTTTAACAGAGATTGCTGAAAAAGAGGCAGAGGGAGATGATACGATCTTACTCGACAGAAAAGGAATTTTGCTCCCAGGATTGAGTTTCCGCAGGAACCAGGGAAGCAGTTATACTGCAGAGGATGAATATGGGCCCCAGATGAGCCCAGAACAATGGGAGGACAAACGAGCGCTGTTCTGAGGGCGGACTTCGCTGCCTTATTTAAATATATTTGTACAAAGGTCTTCAGAGAAACACTTCGCTGCACTTAACGTGCAAGAATCCAGTCCAACACCGGAATTTTGCCTATTTAAGCACTACCACAACCAAGAGCTTTTTGCTCTGTATTTTAGGAAGTTTGGTTCTGCTGCAACAGTGCAGGAATGTTGACAGTTACCCTGCTCACGGGAAGCTCAAACCTTCCACCTCCCCTGTGCCAGCGCCGCACGTGATGCTCGCTCCAGGCGCTCCTGGCCGGGGCGGCGGGCAGCTCCTTCGCCGAGCTACCTGTCAGTACCTGCTCGGCACTTGCCAGTTGGAGCAATTCGCAGCAGCTCACATTTCAGTTTTCGCTTTTCTCAGGGCATGCTTTTTTTTTTTTTTTTTTTCTCTCTCGAACTTGGGAAAAACAACTCCAGGCCTCTGTAAAAGGAGGCAGACAAACTGGCATCATGTATTACAGCATCTGTAAGAGCGCACCTCTCAGCACTGAGTGAGTGGGAATATCAAGTTACTCTTCTTTCTTCTTGAAACATTCACTTGATCATGAAATTTAATACCAGCCATACTTAAAAAAAATCATTTTAAAACAAACAGTTGATACAGAGCTACCACAGCAATTGTATACTGTTAATTTTGAGGACCATACTGTTATTAATCTTTGGCTACTGTGAAAATCATTCCCTGCAAATATCTTTTGCCACACAATAAAATGAAGTCAAATTTAAGTGCTTGTCTCTCCCTGGTACACATTACATGCAGGCAGATAAAAGGAGCAAGAAACCAAGCTCGATGCCAAATTCAAAGGCAAACACTAAAGGTGAACACATTAATTCTGTGGGAAAGCCACTGGCAGGGAGGGACAGCACGTCTGCAGAGGTACAGCCCTCGTCTGTTCTTGTGTAACTTTTACACATCACACAACAAGAACTGTCAGTCATTTTATTTCATGATTCTGCTCTTTGCTTAAATATTCAGATTCCTTTTTCACTCTTCCTAAAAGGAAAAAACGAATACAGACCCTTCACTTATTTAAATGTTGTTTGTGATAACATCAACACATGGCCAAAGACTACAAAATATTTCCCCAAATAGTATTTGCATATTTATCATTTTTAAGCTTCCAATTCAATGGATACCTCATACAACATGCTGGCTTTAAAAAGACTCACAAACAGCACTAATTTAGCATGATAAGCTATTTTAGAATAATTTACATAAAATATTGTGGCCCTTCCCCCTCTCTTCCCCACAGACCTGCTAACTTTACTCAATTTATCCTAAAGCAGAATTTTAATCATTATAAAAATATGAACTCCTATAAATCTCATTTCCCAAAACAGACTAGCTATAAAAAGGACTTTCAAAATGGTGCTAAAAGCTCTAATCATTAAAATGTCTGTAAAACAGAAAGTAGAATATACTTCTTTTTGCAAAAGCTATTTTAACATTTGCAAACGTTACTTTTAGCACCAACTTTTCTAACCCGCGTGCTTTTAAGAACAAAGCAACAGAGAATGTAGAATCAGAGTGTGTGAAGGAAAGGTAAAATCCCTGACAAGGCACAACCGTAGCCTGTTTCCTCTCTCAGCCAGCCAAGAGTGGTGTGTGCTGGTTTCGGCACCGAGAGGTTTCCTATTGTAGTCACTGACTCACGCCCAGGCAGTCAGGTGCTGCAGACGCTGGAGCAGAGACGGTGCCGGAGTCAGTGCGCAGAGCTGGGGCTGGCGGGGGCACGTGTACAAAACCGAGCTGCACAGGAAAAAGGAGGTGGAGGGAAATTTTTGAAGGACTTTTAAAATACCTTCTCCTGCAGCTAACTTGGGGCGATGTTACAATGAGGAAGTGGTAACACAGTTGTTTCAGTTAGTTTTTGTTGTTTTTTTTTTTTTTTTTTTTTTTTTTTTAAAACCAGCATTATTGAATCTAGTCAGTATAGGTACAATAGAAACGTTGTAACTACCTGAACAATTACTAAACATATTTGTAGAATGTAACTATTTAAACATTGCAACCTTAACAGCCACCAATAGGGAATAGATACCTCTCTTGGAACAGAACCTGGTACTGAGACATTAAGGCTGAGAAGTGCTACTGGAGGCGGTTCAGTGACACCTCGAGCCATGGCTGCAGTCTCAGCACCCTACCTGGGAGATTTTAGAGGCCAAGGACTGAGAAAAGAATGGGCTCCGAGTTTTATATGCTCCTCCTCTGAAATGGTTCTCTGCACGTCCAGGCAGTGCAGAACCAAAACCCACCTATTACCGAGACTGGGAAGAACCACTGCTCTGTGTTACACCAAACAAACCTCTGCTAAATTACTGTCCATCTCCAGAAACCCCAATGTTAGCCCCTCTTTTCTCAGGCGATGGGGGGAATGGAGGGGAAAAAAAAAGATTCTAGCCGTTATGGTCTTGAGGCAAGTAGAAAATGGTGCTGTGAGGTCTACCTACCTATGTAGGGAGTGTGAAACAAGCACATCTGAGAGGTGGAAAATGATTTCATCTCAGCGAGCATTAATTCTGAAACTGCGGTGCTGCTGCTGTATGTTGACATCATTAACTACTTTATTACGCTGGAAAGAAAGTCTCACAAAGCTAAGAATAACAACTCATTTTAGCACCATGAGTGGGTGGACTCCTCTCCCCAGCCCCTCAGCTCAGGCACAGACGGGCAGAAGGAAACCTGAGGGAAAGGGAAACCAAAGTGGAGAGCCCAGGGCATGCACACAGGTTCCACGGAGCTGCCAGAGCTCAAATCCCACAGCAGGATTAAAGCCTTACAATCCCAGCAGAGAACACACACACATCTTGACAATCTCTTTGTCTGCAGAGGGCAGTGTCTCATGTCTGCATTTTAAATGGCTGAAATCTTAAACCTAAATTATTTATTAATGGATTAAAAATTTCCTCTTCTACATGAAAGGAACATTTAAACAGACTCACAGGAAGAACTGAACAAAAACGGATGCTAAAAACTATGGGCTCTGTTCCTGTAGTGGAGAAGACAAGAAGGGGACTAAGAAGGTATTCCTCTTCCCCAGATGTAGTGTTAATTCCCACATCAACATACATGAGGGGCTATGAACCCAGCTGGGGCTTTGGCCACCCGTATAAAGCTATGCACAATAATCAAGTCTATTATTCTGTATAAAGAATAAGGAAACCTCTCATAATGTCTTATTGCAAGGAAGCAATAAAGGACGTGCAGCGCCCTTCAGTGTTGCAGCCTTGGTTCAAATATGTGCCTGAAGCATAGCGGTCACCTTACATTTGGTAATAAACATGCAATTCCAAAGTGTGCTAGGAAGCAGAGGCACGCAGCAGCAGTGCTGGAATGATCAGACCCAGCCGGGCTGTGCTGGCTCACCTATTGCTCTGATACCTGTAAGCAGACACTGTGTGATTTAAAGCACAGAAGACAATTCCAGGATTTCCATTTGTTCTGCACTACTATAATTAGAGCTTCCGGCTCCTGGTTTACACTAAGAACAGCGGCGAGGACTGCAAGGTGGAAGAGGCTCAGATCAGATGGGGCAGACTGGGAGAAAGGCTGGTGAGAAAGCTCAGTAGTTCTGGAGACAGGTAGGTGTGTTCTTCCATTACCTGCACTGCATCACCTGCTTCCACACGGGCATAATGTTTGTAGACTGTGTGTATGTGAAATACAGCTTTTATTGCGCTGCAGCATTTTAACTCCACTTCCTCTGCTCAGCAGCAAATTATTAGATTCACCACAAAAAAGGGGGGGCTAAGTGCGGCGGCAACTGATACATTACACAATAGCTAATACACATCCATTAAATATAGCCATTTCCTCTCCTTTCTTCTAAAACTTTCAGCCTAAGAGGTTTTTGCAGTATCTTGATCGTGTTGGCTGCCCTGTATCGATAGCTATAGCCAAAACTAGCGACAGGTGCAGAGCTTTCCACATGGCACTTTTCCCTTCCCCTGTGCCACCCATGTTTAGATCCCACAGCTTCAGCTTGTAAAACTGCAGCTATCTTCTTCATATAAATGCACAGGAAGTCCAAGGAACAGACTGCCAACGAGCAGATGAGAAAATTAAAAAAAGATCTGTGACACTAATCAATCATGCCAGGATTATACAGTGCATCTAAATGGAGATTTTAAGGGAACAGAACTGGAGTACTTCTGCAGATGAGCATATCCTAAATTTTATTAAAAAAAAAAATTACTTTGAATGAAGCAACTTCCATTGGAGAGACCTATGTTTTATTAACACATCTTAAGATTTTCTGTTTCTTTCTTTAAAGATAATAAAATGGGGAGGAAAAAAAAAAAAAAGCTGATATAAATATAATTCACATTCGGGTCACTAACTTTCATGATTATAGCTCCAAACACCAAGCCTTTAAAAAGGAGAAAAACAACCACCCAAAACTCACAGTGCTCTGCAGCAGAACTTCCTCCTGTTACCTACGTTACCTTTTATCAGTGTAAGCCACATACATTTGGTGGAGCTGTAGTCAGAAAGTATCCCAAGGAAGTAAAAAACATCGTCAGCTAACAACTTTTCTATGATCAGTTTCCAGGAAGAAGTATGCAGGGAGAACGCCATACATTTATACAGAAATATGTATGTCTCTCTCCTACAGTAAATATCCATTTCAGTTTTCTGTACATCCAGCATTTGTGGCATGGATCTTAGATGTAAGTGTGAAACAAGTCAGAATTTAAAAGACATACTAGTAAAGCAAGGATATTACAACCTGATTTGCTCCGTAATCCATATATGCATAAAAGTAGCATATGCTTGTATAGATTTGGGTAATTAGCGTTCTGTTTCAAAACCCACTGTGCTTTGTACACTATAAACATGGTAATTGTCACTTTATCTCCCAATCTACACTGTGATTTCAATTATAACACAACAAAGGGACTGCTCATGAGAACTGAATGGAGAGGGCAAATCGCACCCCTCGTAATAATAGTAACAACCCTATGTTAATTATTGTTTGTTTGTGTTTTTTCAAAAGGTATTTGTTGATTTATTACAAACATCTCTTACAGTCTGATGAAAAAAGAAAATGTACTGGGTGCGGCACGAATCTTTCATTTGTAAGACTTGTCTTGAGGGAAATCAGTTTCATATTCTTTACAGGCACGTGACTTTATCAGAAAACCACAGTGCACAATTTTGGCATAATTAGCAGGACCTTCTTAAATACAGCCAGGAGAAAGCGCCGAGGGAAACAAACACATTTCACATCATTAGGAAAAGTCAGGACTGGAATGGAGGTACGGTGCCGGCCTCTGCACACAACAGCAGAAATCCTACCTATTTTTAGTTCACAATTCCAATAAGAAAACAGCTGGGAGTCTTAATGAAAATAACTTGGTGACAAATTTAATGGACTGAACACTAAAGTTACTATTTTTAAATAAAGTTCCTAATTATCTTTCGAAACAAGAAGCAATTAAGCAGCAGCGGAGCCACGACTTCACAAGAGTCTGGTAAGGCTTGGCTCCGATCAGGTTGAAACTGGGAAATGGCTCAGCCACTTCTGATCCTAAAAACTGGGTGAAGGCCAGGATTGGTTTTAGGACATTTTTTTTTATTATTATCATTATTTATTTATTTAAAATGAAAGCAATTCTGCTCTGGCCTGTCCGTGCCGGCTCTCTGGTCACCTTAGGAGGAGGCATGGCGCCTCGCAGCCTCCCAGTTACCAACCTGCAGGCACCAGGAGGAGGTGGAGACAAAAACACAAACAGAGCTCCTGCTGCCTGAAGAGAGCTTGTGGAAATGATCAATGCTCTTTGCTAACGAGATGTGCGGCCCTTAGAGGAGTTCCGCTCCATGGAACAGAGGTGGACAGTGAGATGCTCCAGGGGCAGTGGCCAAGGGTCAAGGATCTCACCCTACAAAAGCACTCAGAGAGAGCACAGAGGAATTCGTAACACGGAGCATATGGGTATTTGCAAAGTTACTGAGCTATCCACATAAATCACGATAAAGTCAGTTACAATCTGACATGCTCTTCTCCAAAACTCTCTCTAAATAGTTCTTTAAAGTGCGACGTTTTAATTACTTGTTCCCTTGATAGAGCACTGTGATAATGATGAGTATATTGCACTTGTATCTCACAGAAGACAAAACTATTTCATGTTTCTTCCATACCACACACCTTAGTTTTAAAGCAAACTTTCCATTTAGCAGGATCTTAAGAGTCTGAAATGCCCATGTGGGAAATCCATCATCTGATCTGCTGAGATGGGAGGAGGGATCTCTAAGTTTGTCCTCACCGCTTCTACCAAACCATTTCACTGCACCAGGATTGTTGATGGTACTGGCATCAGTCCCATGAAGGACTGAACATCCTTCACTTGTCTGATTTCATTTAATATCTCACACTTAAAAAAATCATCCAAGGGTTTTTCACTGCTATGAGCTCCTATACTGATGTTGAAGAAGGTAAAACTTGTTCTTCATGGAGCACATGCTGATGGCAGAGCTAATGAATGGACCAAAATAAAATACCAACCTGCAAACTCAAACGAATAAGGCTCACTTTGCTGTTGAGACCCAACAATACCAAAGAAAACCAGACACGCTCTTTATGAAGATACCCAAGAAAAAATAATTGCCTTGCTGGACCTAAGGCTTCACAATGCCCAACTCTTCTGATCTGCCACTGCTTTTAGAACATCAGAAATAGGTAAAATTCAGCTGAGAAGCCACAGTAGCAAACGTGGCAGATGGGGCATTCCAGTCATGGCCTTCAGCACCTTTGCAAGTATTACCAGCATTAACAGAAGCAGCAAATTAACACAATTTGCTTGCACATCACTTTTTTTTTTTTTCAATTTATTTATAAAAATTGCCTAAGTTTAAGCAGTTTGGTTTTTTTTCTGTTTTTTTTTTTTTTTTTTTTTTTTTTTTTTAATTGCAAAGCCCCAAATCTCTCTGTACTGATCATGCAGCACTGCCAGGCCACATGAGCAGGGCTAGATGCGGCCCCCAGGAGCCCTCCTTTGCTACACCCTCCTGCATGACCCAAGGCTCCTGCCCTCCCCCAGCTGCAACAGGCTTGCTAAAAATAGCTCTTTGCTAGCTTTTACTCAGGCTGCCGTTTACATAAGCCCTTTGGGGGCAGGGGAACCTTGCAGAGTATCCACGGAAGCCAGGAGCCTTCCCGGAGAGCTGGTGGGGCGGCAGCACACCGCGCGTGGCCAGATATCGAAAGCCTCACCTGCGTGCTGCAACTTGGCCTTATCTGCAGATATCCTTCTTGGAGACTTAGTGTATCACAATACAAATATAGTTAACGCAATTAGAGTTAAGCGTAACAATTGATTTTAACGTTTCAGATACAAAAATCAATGTATAATGTATTGCAGAGCAATCCGTTCAAAAGCACGGTTCCAAATCACAAAACCTATCAATGAGATCCTGCCTACAAAATGTTCTTAATCACACTTAAAATCAGTTCGCGTTTTGAGTTCCTTTAGGACTAAGTCACATGCTGTTAGAAATACTTCCTAAGATTAAAAAACCCTGATTTTATTTGCACTACAGGGAGCGCAACAGGCAGTATTACAATAAATAATGTTCTGTGATACATTACATCCAGCTTCAGTTTGCTAAACTTGTTCACCTAATATGAGATAATCTATTTTCTTATTTCCAGCCTGCCTCTCCTGCATTTAGGACTTTATGGCCATGTTCTCTGCATGCAAAGCACATGGTCTCAATAAACTTTGGAGCCTGCTGGTAAATTTCTACCAAATGCAATGCAGACATCTTTGTCAGGGGTCTCGCAAAGATAATAAATTCAGCAACACCTGTGAATGAGGCAAGCACCCAGACAAAAGAAATTTAAATTAAAATTCCCGGTGAAGGAATGGTTTCAGAGTATTATCGAGCCCCGGAGTTCACAGCAGAGGAAAAGAAAGCAGAGAACGGGCAAGTCAGCAACAGGGCGTGCTCCTTCGCTAGGGCCACAGGGATGTATTTGCTGTATTTCAGCCCAGGGAATAATTGGGAATTGAACCCGGTGCTTTCACGTTGTACCAGCGAACGTACTGGCCTCATTTCATCCTCGTAGCAGAAATTTTCTATTGTTGCCTCCTATCTTTCAGAATTGTTACTTTTAATTCCTTCCCCCCCCCCCCCCCCCCCCCCCCCAAAGCAAGTCTTTAATGAGGTCCTACAACATCAGTTTAGGTCTCAGCTTGATAAAAGTATTCTCCTAATTGTCATCTTCTAATCTTGAAGTGTTCCTCTTTCAGCAGCAGCACAGCAGGAGCGATAAGCGCTCCCACAAAAACACCCAGCCCACGCTCCCAAAGCTGTGGTGTTTGCTGGCGGCGCGCAGCACGAATGGCAGACGCCGAGGCCAGCAGCCACCCGCTCACAGCGGCAAGACAACTATGAAACCCTGACGGTGCTGGCACAGCTGCATCCCAACAGTGCCTCCTGTGCTGTCAGTGTGGGCCAGGAGCCTCTCAGCAAAGCCCCGCGGGCTGCGTGCCGCCCAGGTAAGGCGGCGGTGGTGCACGGACCCCGCGCTCCTGCTCGTCCCCTCCCGCACTTACCCACAGTGTGCCCGGCGCCTGTGGATTTCCCCCTGCAGGATCCCCAGCGAAGGCGGCTCCAGCCCCTCTGGCAGCCTTCTCCTCGCTGCTTCTGCAGCGGATCGAGTTGCCTGAGCGAACCACGGCCCAAACTAAGCCGCGGTCGGGGCCTTTTCTGTCTGCACAAAGGCTGGTAGCAAAGGCATGTGATAAAAGGGGTGACTGAAATTAGTCCTGAGGAACTAACAGTGTGATTTTAGCGCTTGCTTTGATGATTCTCAGGACTCGACTGCTACGCCTTTTTGCCACCCCAGTAATCCAACCCCCCTGTACAATTCTCCAGTCTGATGCTAGCAGTTCAAGATGTTGCTTGCTCTGTCTTTCAATATAGTAATTCAAATTTTACTAAAACTGAGCACATTTTTACAATTCAAGGTTAAAACTTCAGGAGACAGACAAATGTAATGTGCCCCGAGTGCACGACCACCTTACAGAGTTGACATAACTGCAACTCCCCCTCTAATTACCACTGCTTAACCTCAGCAATTCATTCTAACCCTATACTGACCGCTACGTCTCTTCACAACACACAGGCGATTTGAGGATCACTGTGGATGCAATGCTCTACCAGGGAGCCACCGTTTTACTGGATCAAATTTACTTCAGGTATGTGCAATTTTTGGAGAAACGAGATTAGAGAAGTTTCACCTGCAGCAAACAGAGATATTTTAGGGTCAGTTCAATACATATAAAACTTTGCCACACTTCCCTTGCCAGAACAAGGCTGTTCTGTGTCTAGTGAAAATAAAATTAAAAAACAAAAGCAGCAGAGCAACACCATGCATGAGGTCCATGCGTAGGGAAGCCAAACCAAAGAAACCTGTGCCCTCGTAAGACCCGAAGCTCTTCCCATTGCCTTTGTGCACGTGAGGAACCTGCAGCAAACCCACCCGGTGGTCGCTTACTATCTGTCAGCTTGCCCCTAGCAGCTTGGTACAGTGTCCACTGATATCACCTCAATCCACGCACGCACAGCATGGCTTAAAGGGTGAGAGGCTTTTGGACAGGACACCACCGAATGCACGCGATCACCAGCGTCTGAACCCAGCTGTTACTGAATTAACTCACAGGCTAAACTCCACTTACTTCAGGGCAGCTCCTGTAAGGACGGGTCTAGGCTACTGAATTTGTCCCTATCTTTACTATTATGAAACAAAATGGAACTGGTGCAGTAATGCTGTGTTACAAGCCATGGTTAATGACCTTGCGTAACAATGCAACATACTGATTTCATGAATAAATTGTATCGTGTCGAGTCTATACTAACACAGATTAACCACTCTAAATGGGTTGCATATTTAGTCAGGACTTTGAATGCATAAATCAAGCTTTGTTTGACAAGAGTTAAAGAAGCGTTTGGACAACGCTCTTAGACATGATCTGATTTTTTGTATTTCTTTTGGGGGGGGTGGTCCTTTGGGGACCCAGCGGTTGGACTTGACGATCCTTGTGGGTCCCTTCCAACTCAGATATTCTGTGATTCTATGATATCGGTCATTTTAATTAAGTGCAAAAGGACTTATGAAGCCTCAGAACGTAACAAATAATCACCAACATTACACGTCACCATCTGACCCCAACCCCCAAAAAGCCTATGAATTAATGACCATGTGAAAAGGATTTCAAAGTCCACCTTGATTAAAAGTCAGAAACCTCACTTTACAAGAGGGTAACTTTTAAACTATTTTGCACAACTAACCCCAAATGAATTTAGCTTCAGGCATACACAGGTATACGAATCATACACTAACAAGGTGCTTGCTGTTACACAGTTAACTGTATTTCACTAATTTTCATTTTATTACAAACTTATGCCTATCAACCAGAGAACAATACAATATTCACAAGATCTCTTCCAAAAGCCTTAGCGGACAATAGATTCATTTTTCCACATATTTCTATCATATTCTCTCACACACTATTAATGTCAAAACAAAAACTTTGAGGATGGGAGAAGGATGAGGAATGGGAAGCCTGTTGCCATCAAGATGCAGAAATCCTTACAAGTTCAGCTAACAGAAGGTTTTGGCTTCTATTCCATCTCCTTGTGTTTGCATTTTGACTCTTCCCCTTCATCCACAAAAAAATGTGCTGCATTGGGTTCTGTACGCTTGCAGAACACAGGGCCACAGGAACAAAACAGAAGCACGGACAGGTATCAGATACACACTGCCTAAAAGGTTCAGGTACTACTGAACCAAACCAACAAAAGCTATTACAAAAACGTGCATCTGATGTTTGCTTTCAAAAAGCTCAAGATAATTTTACTTTCTTTGTTTGAACTTTGCTTTCTACTTACGATCACAGAGAAAGCCTATTTTACTGACAATTTTTGTAAAATACAATGTTAAAAGCCATGCCAAAGTTTTAGAAATATGCTTGAGCAAATGCATGCCTAATCTGAGTAAATACTGTTACTAAAACACAGAAACAGCTGTTGCATGAGCAAATGCTCCATTTGCATGTGAAAGCAAACGCAGCACACAGTGGAAATGGAAGTTCATTTCTCAGAAATCAGGCATCTATGAAGACTCGCAGGATGGCTTATCCTCAACTCTTGCAGGCACGAGCAAGTGATATGCTTAAAACAGAAGGCAAAGCACCACAATCTGGCTGCCGGACTGGATCAGGAAAGAGTTCTGGCCCAGCCTTCACATGCCGGTCTCTGATCAGGCCTTCCCTGCCCTCAGCTGAAGGCTAATCCCTAAAATTTCCAACAAGACATGGAAAGGAAGTTGCATCTGCAGCAAAAAGCCAGAAAGGAACTGACACGTTAACAGATGTGTGGAACAAAGGACAAATAAATGTGGCAAATGAATGAACGTGACGGGTGCGGGGGGTAAAAGTGGTGGAGTGAAAGTGGAGACAGCAGTCAGATTCCCGAAGCAGAGTAATTCCCTTTCAGAATAATTCAGAACGATGTGGTGGTCTTCACACACACCTCAGATGCCTGTGGTTTATCTTCTTAAACTGGACGTGAGGAAAAATATTCTGTATTGTGAGGGTGGTCAACCACTGAACCAGGCTCCACAGTGGTTGATGCCCCATGTCCGTCAGTGTGCAAGGCATGTGGACAATGCCCCTGTTTAACTTTCGGTCAGCCCTGAACAAGTCAGGCAGCTGGACTAGATTGTCTTTGAAGGTCCCTTCCAACTGAACTGTTCTCTTCTATTCCACTCACATTTTGGACTTGTAAAAAGGTCTTTCTGCCATTACGGCTCATTAACTTTAACGTTTTCATTTGAGTGCTCCTAATTCTGAATACTCAAGCAAGCTACTCCAGGACACCTTTTGTTTTATCTTGCTTCATACTGTGATGTAATTTATTTTAGAGACAGAGAAGTTTATCTGGGGTTGAGTGTAGGTTGAAATTATGAATTTATGATTAGCTGTGACAACAGTGGGAACATGTGTTGGATTCATAATCCATTTATTGGCTAAATTTAGGTAATCTGGTTTTCACAGCACTTGCCAGCAGGCACATCCCTGCTACCAACAGGCAGCAAGGAAGGGCAGACACTTGGAATAGTTAGGAATAATTCAGGCTACTTATATATTTGGACTCATTTTGTTGGTCCTGACTTCAGTGAAGTCATGCAAGCACAGGAGTGACTGTGCTTCCTGTTGTCTACAGCAACCTCCGTGTGCACCTAATGACCCCATGAACTGGGGAGAAAATATAACCCAGGGTTTATTTACTTTTACCTGAAATGTAGCTTCGTTTAAAACATAAACCTCTGGTACTTCAGGATAAAGAAGAATAGAGACAAGGCCCTAATTCAATGATCTCTAAGTGCTCTGGAACAAAAGCAAGGTGGTTTTATGATTAAGCGAACGGATAAGCAACGAGGTGATCCGGGTCTGGTCCTTGGCTTGCCAAAGAATTCACACAGCAGTAGGCAAGCTCATCAGCTTTAAATCAGCAAAAGGAGACATGAATGTTAGTCTTCCACACAGGAATGTTTAACAATATAATTGCTAATGCCCATAAGAAGCTTGTGTATGCCAGGAATATAGGCCGGGGAAATTCCTGTCCTGTCAAATGCGAGTACTCAGCACAGCTCACAGACCTGGAGGAGACAAGAGGAACTGCTCTGCCAGAACTACAGTAATTAGAAAAAGCAAAAAGAAAGAAAAAGTAATAAATAATATGAATAAGAAACTAGACTAACAGTACCACTGATAAATCAGCTGCTATTTAAAAAGGTAAGACTTTCAGCAAATGCACTTTACTGTATGATCTCCGAAAGGAACTTCATCACAAAGAGAAATCAACAAGGAAGAAAATCATTAAGTACTCAGATTGGGGCTCTTAATTGCTCTTATAACTCAGCGAACCCAGAAGTGAAACCGTAAATCCTAATAAAAATATAAAGAATTTACAACCCTTAACACAGCAGATATTAAGAAAACAGCACGTCCACATCTGCTGATCCTTTAGCAGCTCTGCACAGCAGTCAGCTAAGAGCTGCACTCTCCCCCTTTCTTTGATAAGTATTTTAAAAACAAACATCTTCAAAAATCCTTCTCATAAAGCCCTTCTGGAGCAGCCTGGCACAGTTTCAAGCTATCAGAGTGGCTCTGCTGGTGCTGAAGTTCGAGAAATCCAACTCACTGCACCTACACCACAACCTCCCCGGGCTTTCTCCTTCCCCGAAATGGCAGGCAGCGGGAGAAAACACGGCGAGGCTTTCAAGCAGGAAATAGCGTGAGAATAGGCTCCCTCATGCTACTTCCAGCCCTTCCTGATAGCGGAGGGTGTGAAATGGGCTGCAAATACTGTCTCTCACATTATTTCCTTTTCCACCCCAGCCAAAACCAGGAAGCGTCAGCTGGGAGATATGCAGAGAAAGCAGAGCAGAAAATGAAGCAAAAATCATACTGGTGGCCAAGGAATCGAGCTGAGCCAAGGCTAGATAAAACAAAAAATCAAGTATTTGTGGGCGCTTCCTAATAGTAACAAGACTAGAGAAAAACACTAGGAGGCTTAGGTACCCGGGCTTTGCTTTTGATTTGCTGCAAAGCTGATCCAGAGGCTACTGACATCAACTTGGACTTACAAGACTGTGCTTGTATCCTCCAAGCCTTCATGCCACCAATAACCCATTTGTATGAAAGAGATCCTACTTATTCCAGCTACTCTGCAGTGTATTTGTGAGGCTTTAAGAACAGAGATCCACAAACGAAAACCAAGGTAGAAGTATTAGCAGCATCAACACTTCAAAGAGATCATGTGTGTTTATACTTGACAGGACGCAGAGATTTGACATGCAGGATTTGGCACATCACAGTGGAAACGGCTCCTAGGTTCCCAATCTTAAGTAGTATATTCTGAATAAAATGAAATCCTGCACCTGCAGGAAAGAAATGTGAAGGATGGTAAATCACTCATCGCCATTTGGGATTTTCTATATTCTAGACACTTCTGCATTCTTCTGTTTATTATTAGCCAAAAGGAGTATCACATGGCTGCTCCAGTTAAAACATTCGTTCTCTTCTATATACATCCCCAAAATATGCGGGAGCAATCAAATCTGCTCTCCTCTCAGGTACTGCCCTCTCCTCACAGCTAAAACAATTCTCCACAGAGAGAAGCTGGTGACAGCCTCCCAGACCTTGCTGTCCTAGAAGCAGAATTGGAACTAATTACTTCATAAATGGAGCTAAGAAAGGGAAAGAGCCTCCTTTCCTTTCTCCCAGGACTGTGAAATATGCTCCGGCAGGAAGTACAGTAAAGCTCAGGATGAGCAGAGGCAGCTACCCTTCAACACCAACAGGGCTCCTCTGAAGTGACGCTTCCATTTAGTCAGTAAGCCTGAGGAGGAAGGGCAGGATACCAGCAGGGCTCTCCAACAGATGAGGTTACTGGCCTAGCCTCCCAGCTTTACACCTCTGAAGCTCACCAGTGAGATTAAATGAAAAGCCCGAAGCTGGTACCTGGAGCTTTTCTCAGGTCTTCTGCTCTGAGCCGAGGCCAGGAGTTCGGGAGAGCAGTGACAGAAGCGCACAGACGGGGTTAACGGGAGCTTCTGCTGGGGAGGCACCGAGAAACTTCAGCAAGTCAGCACAAAGAAGTGCAGCCTTTAAAGGTACTTCTCAGGAACAGGTGACAGATACCACTGCTAGACTCCTCGTACCTACGTTAGTGTTACGTAGCTAGAACACGTTTGGACGAGAATTATCTTCGTTCCCACTCTCCTAGGAAGGACAAGTAGCCCGAAGTGGCATTTTTCCTGTGTTCATCTACAAGAATTTGTGACAAACCAACTTGTTTGCTTTCCTCAGCACAAGCTCTGCAAGAGTTTAAGTCTCCATTTCCTCAGTATCTTTCTTTTCAAGATGCTTCAACGTCCTGAAGCTGCGCCATAGGTTAACAAGTCCCTAGCTCTAGGAGGACCTGATGTTGGACTGAGTTCCCACATGGAGAGCCAGGTCCTATCCATGAAAAGCACAACTGTAAAAGCAGCAGCATCAAGCATGAAGGAGCGGGGTCAATCCTCACACCTCTCCCCAGCACTCAGTACCTGACTACCGCACTGTTAACAACGATGGAAGCGAGAGGAGCGAGGGGAGTTTGGGGCCATTTCCCAAAAGCTGCCAGAAGGGATGCAGGTGCTTCAGCCTGGCCGAACAGGGAACACCACCAGCCCTGCCACGGCTCTTCCCTGCCGATGGATGACAGAAACCAGCCCCGAAACGCTCACATAGCCTTAAAGAAGCTTTGCATGTATTTCATTCCAGTTTGGCAGAAGCAGAAATGAATTTCATTTTGATATTAACATTCCTGAAAGCCTACCAAAGCCCTGTGCAATATGCACTCTTTACTATCCTAAAAGGGATAAAATTAATTTGTACGTTTGGAACAAACTATTTGCAGTGCACTTTGCAAAGCTTCCTATATATAACCGTATAAATCACAAGAGTGATATTTTTTTTTAAATGTAGAATGTGAAATGACTCCATAGCAAGACAAGCTTTACACCAAGCAACCCACACTTAAAAAAAAAAAAGGAATACAAAAAATTAAAAACAGCAATAAAAAAACGCTGTTTAGAATTTTAAAGCAGTTCTCCAAACTAAGACTCCATTAATACTTAACAATTTATTCTACTTTTAATAGCAAGAAAGGATTTTTTTTTTTTTGAAGCTGAACTGGTCTTGAAAGAGAAAAGACACTTTTCTGCTTTCCATTTTAAGTAAGCTTTTCTTGTTTTAAACACGGATCTTCAAAAGTGAAAAATGTTTAGGACGCAGGACTCTTCTCTGAAAGAGCTGACATCTCCAACACTTCAGTGTGCTCAACTTTCTCTTTTAATTCCTGTTAGCTCTAATGAGAGCAGCTTGCACGTTAAAATTAAAAATCTTTACTTGAAAACCTCAGCAGCATTTTGTGTTCTGCCTCTGCTGCATTTTTTTAGAATGTGCTCACTGGGTTAATTTTGAAGTATCAATCATGTCAGATTTCCACGCAAACATTTTGCCATTTAAGAGCTCCTGATTTGCATATTCTGTTATTAAAAACAATACCAGGGCACGATCAAAAGCGACAGAAAGGACAAGAACTGCCAGTACTAACAGTTAGAAAGGTTCTTCCATAAGGAAACTGCCATACACTTTACAACCAAACTGAACATTTAAGAACCATGGTCTATTTTTAGGAGACAGCGATGGTATCTCAATAAAAAAAAACAGTAATTTGTCAGCAATGTATAAGGTTTATTTTTGGTTCCGCAGCCCATGATGTAAAATTCAGTGTTCCACTAGATGGAGCAGGACGGTAAAACCATCAGAAAGGCCATTCGTCTTGCTGACCCATGAAAAAGTCAATGTCCAGCAATCAGGGAGGATAGCAATTTTAGCTTTCTTCTGTACAATCACAGCAGAACAAAATTTCATCCTCTTCCAAAAAAAGAGCAACACACAAAAGAAACCATAGTGCTCTGCAATACTTGTGCCTTCCAGTCACAGAAAATGACTACTAACAAGCACTAGACAGAAACACTAACAGATAACCAAACAACATCAGAAACAAAACTATTTTTAACAGTTTCTATCAGCTTTATGCTATAAAAGACAGAATTTAGCGGACAATTGCCAGAAAACTTTTTTTTTTTTTTGTAGCAACTGAACTTTCAAAAAGATCCATGCCGAATGATCAAACATTAGTCACCTAATGCAAGACATCGCTGCACATCAAACACTAGAAACAATGGCAAAACTTCAAAGAGCCTTCGAGAGACCTGGAGCTGTGCAAGTCATAGTAAAATCATCTCCCTGGTCTCTTTTCAAACAGAGCTAATTGTTGATTTACCTTTAAGTCTATCTAAACAAACAACAACAAAAAGAACCTTACAAATTTTATTTCATCAAACGTTCTCTACGAGACTCAGCAAAGGCAGACAAACCACAGTCCTCCATTATGCGAAATGAGAAGCTTGCACTTCCTTGACCATTAAAACTTACTGCAGCTTCTCCAGAAGAAACAGAGTCTAAACTAATAAAGAGCAGTCTTAACCTTTAATATTCCAAATTTAAGTCCTACAATTCTTGAACCTACATAATGAAAGTACCAATTGTCACAATTACAACAAACATCTTGCAATAAAAAAAAAACCAGAACCATACCTTATTGCGATATGTGATAAATAACTGCAAACATGCAGCAGTCTCTCTCATGACAATACTAATTATCACAGCAGTATAAATAGCAGAGGGGAATGAATCATTCTCTGATATGTGCAGAAGGTACACAAGCAGAAATCTTGGTGACTGATCACAGGCTGCTGCCTGTGATTGTTGCTGCCCTCTCTTTGTTTTCAGACAAATAAACTGCACTAAACTCAAAAGCTGCAAACATGGGCACGTTTCACACCATCATAGTTTCCAACTTATTAAAACTTGCTCAGTATCTGAAGTTGACTGTCATTTAGAAAGAAACTGGTGTAAGAGGAAGAAGCGGGAAATTTGCTGTCAGCCTGTGCTAGGACCACCTGAAATTATCGGTGAGGTTTCCAATACCAATATTATTGTCTAACTGAACACAACTTCCCCCACCTCTGAATGGCTGATTAACAGCAACTCATTCCATAGTGTACCCTCTTCTTTTCCAAGGCATGGAAAACTAAGCATCAGGACTATCCAAACCACTGTTATTAACATCCAATATCACTGTCAGCATACAGCAGAATAGAAACGATACTTACTACTGTGCACAGTCAATCAGCTGATATTCATTAGACCTCTCATAGCAGGCTTTCACACCTTCGTCTTGCCAAAGCGTTTTTGTATGTTCATAAAATTCCTGAAAGAATAAAAAAAATACTATCAGCAAAAAAAGGATTCTATACTAAGAAGCAGCAAATAGGAATATATCGTTAGCATGGTAAGAAATGGTAAAGGGCAACAATTTAACAAAAAACATTAAACATCTTTGTAGAAGCTGTGTATGAGTTCTGTTCTGTTGGCTTTCTTAGTGTCTTGACTTTGTAACGCTTTAAAACACTTAAAGAATTGCTTCTTGATCATCTTGTCCCAGTCCAACTGTATTTGGAAGTCCTGGAAGAAGGGCTAACTTTTCATTAATGACAATTCTGTAGGCATTTTTAGTAATCAATACTATTTGATAACACTCTTTAGCTCACTGATATGATGTTTATTTGTCTGTCAACGTTTTTTTCTTCATTGAAACACTATTTCTTAGTAATTCTTCCATAAAGGCAGCAAATTATGAATAGGTTTTACGTAATTTTCCATCTTCCAAGTTAGTGGGGATTTCTGGGGACTATACAGACACCTTTATCTTAGTGCTTGTATCAACGGATTTGTTCTTCCGCAGTGTAACAGCATACTGAGCTTCAGAAAAAATACACTGATGCGAAACCAGATCATGTTTTGATGGTTTTAACCTTAAAAATTATAAACCAAGTGCAATGTCTTAGGTTTGCTGAAGCTGTAACCTAAGTACAAAACACAACCAGAAGTCCGTCCTTCATTGCATATAAAAGATGCCCTTTGGCTCTAATGGGGTGTGTGTTATAATTAATTATATTTCTGGCTATCAAAGAACTTTGAATAGACTTAGAAAGAACACCAGGATCTTTGTAACTTAAATACACGCACCACTGGATGCATTACTTTTATCAATGACCATGGACTTTTCCTGGGTGTATCTCAGAGCTTTTCAAGTGTTTGGGACTAAATGCTTTAATTCTGGTTTTTAATGGACTCTGTTCCCCTATTCCAACTCAGTTTTTCTGCACCCAGGAGAGCACACAACCTTTAAAGTAGTTGCTGTATACATTCTGCCACCCCCACCCTCGCCCCTTTTCTTTGTATTAGCGGTGTGTTATAGAAAAAGGATTTATTATTTTTTAAATAACCATTTTACTGCTTCAAGGTCCCTCCATTAACTCCAACTAGCTTTGGAATCATTCCCTCTCTTGGGATATCGGTGTCTTACATTCTTTTACTATCAGCGTGACACAAAGAAAGGAGTCCTCCTTTCCTACCAGGATATTGACTACCACCTGAACAGTATCTCAACAGAAGATGCTTTGAAGGGCACCTTCAAGACAAGTAATGGCATCTTAAAAGTAAATTCAGTGCTGTGGATTTTGAAGCCAATCTCAGTTTTGGCAGGTAGAAGATGCATATGTGATCGTGTGATCACACAGTTGTGAATACCAGTGATGGAAACAACCTATCAAATAATAAAATTGATCTTGTTTTCATTGCTATTGAACGCACGTGCACACACACACAAAGAATATTAAGTGCATACTATTCATCTAAAAAAGATCTTTATGGTAAATTTTTCTTCCTACTTCTTTTAAAGACAATACAAACTTCATACATGATATTAGATGTATCTTTATGGTTTGTTCCCTGCTTTTATGAGTTGTTCACGAGCAATAAGAAAACCTGAATTTCTTTCATATGTAGGTAAGCTTTTACATGATTTTAACTATCAAGAGATTGTACAAATATTTATTGTTAAAGGAAGATAAATTGCAATATTAATTCCTGTCCTCAGTTCTCTTCCTCCCACTGCTGAAATGTTCATTGGACGCGTTCATTTTGAAGGTTTCCTATTTTTTGGCAGTTGGGGAGACTGGCAAGTACCTTCAATCTTCAACTGTATCACAGCATTGAGACAAAAATATCTTTCCTAAGTAAAAAATGAGCAGGAAGAGAAAGTCAGGAAGAGAGAGGATACTATCTGGAATCTCACCATATTTGAACCAAAACTATTTTGGGGTGGCTTCATTTATTTATTTTTAAAACTAACAGCAAAAAAACTAATACAGAACCTCTCATGACTCGTTTAACTTATTACTACAAAGTTGGGAAATTGTCTTAATTGAAAAATTGAATTGGCAATTGTATTTTGTTGTTGTTGTTGTTGAAACAGCAGCTGATTCAGATGGACGTAAACCATCTAAATTTCCAACTTATCAAGATAACTTACACCAGACCTCAGACAGTTAATTGAACTATTTGGCAGACACATGGTTCTAAAATAGATATCTACTTCAAACTGGGGTCAGCATCTGCCAAGCCAATTATCTCCAAATATACCCCAAAACACTCTCTTCATCCTGCATTGCAGTCAGTAAACAAATAACTAGACAAAGATAAGTTTATAAAAAAATGTAATAAAGCATAATAATTCTTCATCAGCTACAAATGTATATTGAAAGTGAAAGGACACATTGTGTTAATGAAACAAGATCACGGCACAGTAAAACTCTCTTGGCAGTAGAAAGAAGACGAATTTAACCTTTTGCATCCCCTTTCCCTTCCATTATGGTTCTCCCTCCTCTTGGGCTTTTGTCCATCTCTTCTAACAACCTTTCTCATACCTGACTCTGGTCTCCTCAATGAGCCCGTTTGAAATTCACCAATATACATGCAGAAGCGTAATATTGCCTGGAGTGTTCACATTTTACTACATATTACTTATTTAGTTGATAATTTCCTGGATTGTTCAGTACGATAAGCTGAGAGAGTATCCCAATGTTCTCCTCACTCTGAGTCCTCTCATTAGAAAGTTTCTTCCCAAGCTTGGATGTCTCCTCATTCTGCAGTCATTTGCTGATAGGCTTCTCCTGTGCCTCTTCTCCACCATCGTTCTTACATATTATTTAAAAATAGCCATAATCAGTTTGTCCTCCCACATTAAACCCAGACTTCCTCACTTTCCAGTAGCCACTCTTGAATTTTGCTATATCTACCCAGGCTGACATTAAGAAAAAGGCAAGAACACAACATGAAAATGTTCAGATCTTATATTGATTGGCTGAAATATCTTACTATCACACAGTTTTTAATGACCTATCAGTCTGTAGGAAGATGAACCTTCTAGCCATCATGAAAATGAGGCACAAAGTCCTTCCTCACTCAACTACAATATTCCAGCACAGAACTGAAATAAAGCAATTATTTTAAGCAGCTTATCAACTCCGTCATACCTCGTGGAAAAAAAAAAAAACGTTTCGAGTAGTTTCTGCAATCAGACTCTTAAGTGGGATGAAAAGTAAATCCAGTTCCTGGCCCTAGCATAAACACATTGATAATAAAAAGCCCAAGATTTAGTTTGACAGAACTGTTACATACTGTTCAGCAGAGTCCTCCCTGTGTTTTAAGAACAGTTCTGAACTTCCCAGAAAGTATCTGGATAACAATAATCAATGTTTTTGCCTTGTTAGGTCAAATTAGCAATAAAATACTTAATAGTGCCTTTATGGCTGTCCTGCTGATCTGAGCTATAATCAGCAGTACTTATGCAATCCTTTCAATATGGTTGTTAACTGTCCATGTGGGCTGGAAAAAGAATTCAAGTCCACATTCTTTGAACTTTTTATTAGCATTTCAAAATCTGGATCTACGAAAGTAATGAGTAATGGATTATTATACCAAGAAGTACTTTTTTTTTTTTTTTTTTTCTTTTTTTCTTTTTAACTACATGACTTGTGACAGCCAAATATGAAGATCCCTTGTTAAACAACCTTTTGTCTTTGGGCCACACCAAATCTATCTTTACACAATTAGGGACTGATGCCGACCCAACTTACACAACTGCAAACAGGGAATGTAGGTGTTCATCAGTAAAAAGTTTGAACCAAGCTTAGAAAGTTCAACTCGTGCTTTATTACAAGCTTAGTTATACTAGAATGAGTGATTTTGGAATTAAGGCATATTAGCTAGTCACACAAAAAAAAAAAAAAAAAAAAAATTCCCCCTGTCCTCCCACCCCCAAAAATACACCTACACTAACCACAATTCTGTAATAATATTTAAGAAAAAGAATAACATACGAAACCCTCAGCATCCCCTTTGAGTCATGGTATGTAGCCTGGGGTAACTCTCCGGGAAGACAAGCAAAACCACAAGATTTGTTATGCATTTAGGTGGAAAAGGGGCTTCAGAGGCCACCAGAAAAATCAAGTCAGTAACAGTTTTTTGGTTTTTTTTTTTTTTTTTTTTTTTTTTTTTTTTGAGTTAAACAGGTCTAATTTGTATGAGTTCTCTAAATATAATGAGTTAGGAAACAAATTAACCGAAAGTAGCAGGCAAATTTCCTGAAAAGAAATAGCCAGAAAACTAGTCCTTACATGTCTGCTTCTTGTTTCCATAACACTGATTCATTTGCTGGCACATCCTAATATAACAGACTCTACAGCAGCATCAACACAGGTTTCTCTTGCACTAATAATGGAACTCCTAATAAAACAGCTAAAATAAACAAATAATACTAAATAACATTTTGGTTTGAGATGATATTCCACTTTAAACAGGAATGAAACATTAGGTTCAAAACAATACACAGTATTTGAAAAGTGTGGTCCTATTATCCATTCTTGCCTTATGTGTACTTAGAACTCAAAAAATATTCAAGTTATGTCATTTTCCATTTAAAAAAAAGCTGCAGTTACACAATACACACCCAAGATCCTGTTTAAACTATAGCTGAAGCTGTGTAAAGCAACAAAAGTCAACATAACTGATGACAGGCAGCATGGCATCACCAAGCAAAGTGAGAATTGAATTCTTCCCAAGACTTTACACTCTTCAAAGTGCTAACATTACCCGAAAGAGAAAAATCCTTGTGCAGAACACTTAGGAAAAATTATGCCAACGTTACACGCATATGAACGTAACACTCAGGGTTTGACTTTGAATGAGTACAAACTGCACAGGGGCGTAGTTTGAATTCTGGGCACAATCCCTACATGCTTCTGTGAAACTATAAAATCTTGGAGAAAATCCACCATCTGGATAAACCTTCTCTGGTCTGACTTAGATAACTCAAATATGAAGGACCTTGACTTGCCGATTGTAGGAAGCCTTGTCCCTCACCATGCCATAACACTACAGAGCTTTAACAGTCACAGTCATGTGAAAAGAAATGTGTTTAAGTATTAACGTTTTGTTTAGCAGAAGACACCTTCTCCACCTGCTGAATGTTTCCCAATACAATGAATAAACAGGTAACAATTGAGTACTGCCTGTATTCACTTACAGGAATGCAATCAGGCCTCTGGAGGAGAAAGATAAATAAAAACAACAACCCATGAGCAGAAATCATCATGTAAAAGGGATGCTTGTAAAACAGTATTTCGGTCGCAGAAAGCTCTAACCACCATCCTGGATTAAAAAATGGTTCTGCGGAGTCTAATTGAGTTAAAATCCTACTTGTTTTAGAAAATTTCAACAAGTTGAGTAAGTGACAGCAGGTAAACAGCAGTTTTATTAGAAGTCAACCAGAGAAAGTGTTAAAGAACATGGAGGTTGAGTATTTTGGTTGTTAAAAAAATTAATCCTCAAGAGACAAGCTCCAGGCCTGGGAAAAAATAAGGAACCAAGATCGGCTTTTGAGAGACATTCTAAAAGGATAAAATATTAGTAGAAAATGAAAGAGAAAAACTGGACATACTGTCTACACGGTTTTGTTCCCTCCAAATATATAAATACTCAAGAGACTTTTAAAAAATGTTTATGAAGCAATGTTTTATAGGCATTAGGATGTTGGCAGGGAAAAAACATTGGCACAGTAACTGCAACTATGACACCATGTTCACAGGAGCCCTAGCATGGACGTGCAACAGTACCTTTTCTTTGTAAAACCATAATGTAGGGCGGATCTGTCAGCAGATAGCTTATTTACTAATTCCAGCAAAAGTCGGTGCCACTGAAAAAACAACACTACCTACTAAAAGGTGTGTACAGCCATTACACAATGTTGTGGTTAAAACTGGGATTCAATTCCTGGGCAAAGTTCAGTGTCCCATGGAGTTGTGCATTTCATAATAAGAGTTTTAAATAGGTCATCCACTTACAAGCCTAATGACTAAAGGTCAAACTAAATCAGATTCTAACTGTAAAATTGTGTCTTTTTACAAACATGCTCAGTACGGTGGGGGCACACGATCTCTGCTTTCGGGACGGACAGGCAGCAGTGCTGCATTCCCCTAATGACCTGTATTAGGGTACCATGGGGTCACGGGGTGGCACAGCAGCACGGGGCATTCCCAGACAAACTGCACAGGTTGATTTTCTCCTTCCAGGATAGGTAAATACACAGCAAATTGATTTATTTTTTACTGCTCATATCCGAAATCAAGCGATTACTATTGACTGTAAGGCTACTCAGTGAAGGAAGCCAACGGTGTCTTGTCATTCTCCCCGTGTTTGGGCAGGGATCCTACAACGTGTTAAATTTGTCAAATCAGACAGTTTAATAAGGCACTTACTTGAATAGGGAAACATCTGCATTCCTAATGGTGTGAACAAGTGTTAATTATTGCTTGCTATTTTAGGGAAAACATGCCGATGATATCACAAAGGAAACGCATACCTACAAATAGTTGAAGATATTCTCCAGTTACTGGCACATGTCCAGAGGCGAATACAAAACTCTTTGGGAGAGGCCAGAGAACTCAGCATTTCCCATAACTGAGTCAGAAATACTTTCAGCAAGGATTCAGCCTCATTATCGATAGTTTTTTGTGTTTAGAAAGAAGAACAAGGCTAAAATATTTTGGGCGTCTGCTTACGTTATCTCCACATTTCTAGTAGTACAAACGAAACCGGATGTTGCTGCAAGAAGGGATAATGGGAAGGGAATTTTATTTAAGAAATTCCTGTCAAGCTTGAACTTTCATTTTTTCCCTCTGTTACGTTTCAAGAGGCCCCAGTATTTGCGAAATGTACCGACACGTGATTCTATACCCATTATATCCCACGGCGCCTTTGGTTAAGAGGCTCCAGCAGTGTATCATCACACCATCTCCCTTTTATTTTTACTTTCACGAGATATTTCATCACCACAGAAGCTTAAGCTGTTGATACTGGAACACTGCTCGGATTTAATTCTTTCATACAGCTCCCATTTAAAACCCATCGCTCTCGTTAGGGAGGAGGAACTCACTCTTGGGGAGAGCACCAGGATGGAAGGTCGGCAGGCGTGGGCTGCCCATTTGTCAAGACCGCGCTGGAATTTTAAACCAAGTAATCAATACTCCTCTGCTTCTTCGGAATATACTTACACGTGGACAGAAGGTAATTCATTAATGAATTAAACCTACTACTAGCATAAAAGGCTCAGGAAAAAGTCGTCTGTACCACTTCAGCTCTCTCTTGGGGCAGCAGAGAGCTGTGACAGAGGCATTGCAACCAAGAGCTATTTTTACAGACCTCTGGCTAGGAAGGAAGGTTTAATAAAACTCTGAGAATTTCCTTTGAGCCTTAAATTAGGGTTTGGAAAATGTCTTTGATACTACGTCATTTCGTTGCTTTTTGTGTAATGAATATATAATAAACTTAAATAGTCAAATCAAATGGCTTTATTGCCTTATGCAACTGAGAACAACGCCACCATGAGTAACACGTTGAACATGGGATCACGCTGCAAGTTTGCTGTCCCCTTTTGGGTTGGAAACACAAGACCAATTTTTGACAGAAATGTCCACCAACAGAAAAGTGTAGAAGTTGACTTAGGATAAGAAGGAACTCTCTCTTAAGACAAATCCCAAGGAACGATCACTGATTACCATACAACCTTTCTGAAGAAGTAGAATCTGTATTTATAGAAGTATTCATAGACTCCAAATGCTGTTTACGTGAGGAGATCAGGCTTGCATACATTTACAAGAGATTAATCAAAACTTCTGTTTACTTTCTAGGATTTATTTATTTATTTTAAAAGAGTAAAAGCTATCCAATTTTTCTGAGAGCTTAAGAAGTCTTGATTTTTATTGGAACATTGAAAAAATGTCCTAGGATAATAAAATATCTTAAAGTTACATAGCTGATATGCAAGGAAGGTTACAAGTAAAACAAAAAATTAAACGTGCTTTTGTAAAAGTCCAGGTCAGGAATATTTCTATGCTTTCAGTAGCATCAAAGACAACAGTCGTTCAATACATGCACAAAAAAATGCACATGCTTTACTACACTGTACAATGTCTTGTGTAAGTACCTAAATTGCACCCTGAACTTAGTATTTATTTTTTGGAGGAGTGCCATTAGAATTACTGAAAATTAGAATTACTGAAAATTATCATTTGAGCAGCCTTGACTCCAAGAGTTCTACCTACTTTGTAGGATAGTCCGGCTGTGTGCTTAAAAAGGATTATTTGTAAACAGAAACTATTTTAATTCTCATTTATATCCTTCACCTCGTATTTCAAATAAATGAAGTGTTTGTTTGTTTGTTTCTGAATCCAACCGAAATACCTGAAGGAAGGCAATGATGAACACCACAATAAGATCACGAAAAAGAAAAGGCCAAAGCTACTCTCAGTTGGAGATGCTTTTTTCATTGGTCCTACCAAGCAGAAAAGAGAAAATCTGGAAAGCTGGAACATGTAACCTCCACAAAGGCAAGCTGAAAACCCTGATGATCTGGTGGTTTTCTGAAAAGCAGGACTCTACTGGAAGCGATGTGTACCTTTATAAAGCACGACACTCCTGGCAGCAACAGATGTGTGCAGGATCAGAACAGAGTCATGCATGCAGGGCTGCCTCCACAGTGCACACACCTTCATGGCCAGACAAGCTCTCACCAACCTCCACTTGAGCTTCACAGGGTGAAAGGCCTGCGCTTGTGGATCTGTCTAGAGATCTGGGGCCTGACGTTGTGATTCTTTAAATTCCATCCTAACTTCATAAGCTAAGGGCACATACCCTGCAGCTCTGCTCCATATAAAAGTCTCCCTGCTGGGAAATCACTGATGACTGTATGTAAAAAGGTAACTGAACAACTTTTCCATCCTACAATATATTGCATTTGGTACTGGAACGATAAAAACAACTTCTAAGTTTAGCACTGAGGGACATGTAAAAACAGCAACAAATACGCGACAGAATCAAAATGTAAGATGGATTACAATACTTTCCCACTTTTCTCATTAGCTACTTTCTTGCTTGTCTGAGCTTATCCTTGACTTATCTGACACAGTGTAAATTAAATTAAAATCCCAAATTCATGGCTTTTAGAAGCACGTTTACCACCACATTTCCTAGTCTTTGAACACAACAGAAATTTGATGCCCAAAGGTGTTTTTGGTTGTATGCCCAAAAGGCATATCCAAGGGTGATTTGCACATTTACTATGTTGCTGTCTTAACAGACTATCACAGAAAACCTTGCCAAGCCACTGCCATGCCAACCAGGCTCACAGGTGAAACTTTATTTCATCTATGTGTACACCAGTATTTTGTGATAGTCTCTTACTGTGATTAAAACCAGAAAATGCTTAAGAATTTCTATATTAAATTTATGCCTATTTCCTGTTTAATTCAGCTGACAGCTCTTCTCTTTCAACATAAATTGAATTAATCTGTTCTTGTACTTTAAGACTGCTCTGAGGAAAACAAAGGAGATGTATCAAGAGAAATTAAGTCATGATTTCTTCAAATGAATTTCTAAATGTGAACTTATGAACCTACAAACATGGTATGGTGGGAATTTACTTGATAAAAATACAAATGCAGAAGAAAGCGTTAGTGTTTACTTTGAATGCTAATCGAATAAATTAATAATAAAGCAAAAGAGTGTTTTTTAATTTTTGTACGATAAAATGGCTACACTACAGAAACGATCTGCAGATAATATCACCTGACAGTCCTGGAATGTATATTCTCCAATTTAAGGAAATACTTTATCAGATTTCAACTGAACTACATAAACACCCCAGCTGAAACACTGCAGAATTCAAAGGACACGTTTCTTTAATTTTCTAGCCAATAATACCTTCATCTCATGAACAAAACTGAAGCGTACCCATTTTCACTGCAGTTAGAAATTGCTTTATTAAAGGCAAGGAAATTTGGATTATCAAAAGGTGGCAAAAGTCATTTCTGCAGATGCTGCCACATTTAACAACAAAATCAGGTATAGCAGAAAGAACTGCAGCAAAGAAACCAAGAGATTAATCACTATATAGAAACCAAGGCTTATTATTATAACTGCTTAGCTCTTCTATTTACTATCTTTTCTGTTCATAGAAGTCGGAAGGGAGACTTTTATTTTTTAAATACATAGGTATTCATAATTTAGGCTATATTTAAAGTCCAAGTGCTGTCATATTACTGTTCTTCAGAATGACCACCCTAAATTTGTATGTATTCCTAATCAGTGTTTTGACTTTCTGGAAAACTTTAGCAGTCAAAAAAAAAAAAAGTAACACAAATACATATACATACATTTAAATAGCTTTACATTTAGGTGTAAAAAGAAAGATCTTCGCATATTAATGGCAGTGTTTCTAATCATACAATTTACTAAAGAATTGTTAATTTATTTTTTTTTTAAATCAAATTCTCCTTGATAGTGAAAAAAGCTCCCCATAAATTATGGATGCTTGTACAAAAATACCGAAGCTTTATTGATTCATAGACCAAAAGAAACAGGAGCAGTAAAACCTGTTAGTGGAAGTGGTTTGTGCTGAATTCACCTAGGGGCTGCTACCAGACAGGCATCCCTGAGCTCTCCTCTCCACCACACGCCCTAAGCAGCTCAGTTAAAGCAGCCACGTGAGAGCACTGGGGAGAACTCCTGCACATCCGACCAGTCACCATTCCAAGCAACGGCCACTGTGCAACTGCTGTCAAAGAGATGGCCACCAGGAATTTGTTTGTGAACCTAAAAACTAAGTTCTGTAATAACATTTGCTTTTTTTTTTTTTTTTTTTAAAGATAACGTCTAGTCATCAAATAACTCGGATATTAGTCTAAACTTATAGTCAATATATTTTCATTTAAATTACTCATGAAGAAAAGCTTCGTGTCAACATAATAGTTCTTCATATGAGGCAATGGGCTAACTGTTCATAGCTAGTTCTCACAACTACAACCTACCGCACTGCATACTGAAGTTGAAGAAATGCTTATATTTAAGAATTACTGAGTGTCTACTTCCAATAAACAGGTTGTTCCAATACACAGCAATGTCAGAATTTGCTAGATGTTGCTGTTCTTTTGTAAGAAAGAACATTCATATCAAGCATCCATGTGGACAAAATCAGAGATTTCAGGAGATTCATTTGCAAATAATTCCTACTTACACATGCTTTAAACGTGAGAAACAGAAATGAATTCAAGTGGCTGTCTAAAAAAAAAAAAAAACAAAAACAAAACCTCAATAGAACTCCTTAATTAATTTGTGTAAGATTTTATTTCTGCTGTTAGGGGATAGGAAAACCAGCTTTAAGTCTTGTTCAGCTCTGATCAGGTAAACTCAACTGGATTACCCAGAAGTCCATTTAGAAGGAGCTGTTCTGTGTAGATAAGATAATGGAGATTTAAAAAAAGAATATGTAAAGATTACTTCTGAGGAACTAATAACATAGCACTCTGCTGACACAGTCTGTAACACTCCCTATTCCTTTTTATAAGCAAGGTTAACATTCTTCAGTTATGCTTTGCATATCTGTATTTTCTACCAGTTCAGTGCTTCAAGATTCTTAAATACATCTCTGAGGTCCATCTTGTATCACTATTTTACAAAAGACAAGACATACAGGGCATAAAAAAAAAAGGCATACAGGACAGTGAGGTGACTCGCTTAAAATAATAAAGCAAGTCTGGACAAGAATGAGTAAGAGTCACAAATTTTCTGATAGCTATCCAAATTCCATACAATATTATGCAGACACCCAAGAAAACAGGCTCTGTCTCCTCACCTTCCAAGCTTCCCAGGGGGTACTCCCACCAGAGAAAATGTTTTGCCTTCTTCCACACCCCAAAATCTGCGGCATTTACTATGGCCTCCTGGGAACATCCCCCATTAAGGTGAATGTTTGGCATTACGTTATAAAGCCTGTGATGCTGTCAAACCAGAAAAGCTCACTTCTCCTTCCATGATGTATTTAGACAGGAAATAATAATATATCTACCATTAAAGAGATCAGGGTGATTATCTACAGGGACAGATAATTTTGTACTGTTGCCTACATGATTAAGGAACACTTTTGGCAGCAAATAGATCCCAGTGCACATCTTACTGAGACTGCATTATCTTGTATTTTTCTTGAAGATTTTGGTGTTAAAACCCTCCTAAGGCTCCCACCTTTGTCTCTGCCCCTGCTACACGTTAACGTACTACACAATTTGTACCAAGCGGTCGATGGGCCATGGTGTAAAGCAGCCCTCCAAACGGATTCCCGTTAAAAATAACCTCCCTGAAATAGAGGAGAGAAGGAGTAGGGGTTACTGGGGTTATTTTTAACCTGAACCGGTTCAATGGTCTGATTTACTCTGGGGACACGATGGAGGTTTTTTTGGCACAACTGCGAGTGGCACATGATGGTGTGGCGGGAGAGGGAAAGGGATGGCTGTGGGCAGCCGGGATGTTAGGCTGGCTTTGAGGCCGAAGCCAGCGTGTGGTAACACTGGGCCTCAAAGACACCACTCAGAAACCATAATAAAACTATTCAGCAGCACTGGCAGTGGGAGATCCAAAATAACTACAATGGAGCAGTGTAATAAAAAATAAACAGGGACCAAAAAACCTGCAGACAATTTCACCAACAGCCTAAAAACTACCCCATCTCTTCTAAAGATACATTTTCCAGGATACGCCGGAGTGGTTCCGCAGTTATTTCAGATTCCAATAGCAAACATTGTGATTCTTGCTGAATGTCATCTTTCTGAAGCGATCACAGTATTTTCAGGAGATATATCTCCCACAGCTGAGTCCAGATCAATTAAAAATAGGCAGCTGTAAACACTGCTCTGCTATTTTGAATATTTTATTAAGGGACTATGACCCAAAATAAATAGGTTTTATTTGGCAGCTTGATTCAAATGGGTTGAGCATGGAAAGAAAAATGGGCATAGAACGAGAGCATTTCCTTTCCTCTCCTAAAAGTAAGAGCAAAAAGAAAGGGATGAGTAAAAAGGCCACTATTGCAGTTGGTACTAGGGATGGAGAAAATATCCTAACCACTGTCTGGTATGCAGAACGGGAATAAAAATACCACCTCCATAAGCCAGCCCACCCAACGTCACCCTATACTTGAAACAGATATACAGCTAGTATCAAAAATACTTCTGAGGTTCATTTTTGACATTGAAAATATACAAATATAATTGTATTTTACCTGAAGTGAGCTAAATGTATCGAGGTACAACAGTGATAGGAAAACCATTTGGAAGCCTCAACTATGAGCATCATTTGTTTTTATTTTCTATTTCAACTAATGGAACAGCTGTAAAAACAGCCTGAAATTTGGATTTGCTTGGTCTTTGTTCTTGAACACCGTATAATTGAAATACTTGTAAAGCAAGTATTATTCTGGTCTCACAGAAAATTAAAGACCAAAATTAAATCCTACAAAATTTACGATAACTTAAAAAGCAATTCTAGCACAAACTCAGGCAAGATTTCAAATTTATTGCTCAAGCAAACCAAGTTTTCTACTTGTTTCATTATAGAGTCTCAATGATAAGCAAAGTTCATTCCATAAGTCCTAAACCATCTGTGATTTTGTTCTTTAAAGTATTTTTTACCATGGTATAATATTAAAATACAAGCCCAGTAGCAGTAATTACATGTGGGCCTTCAGATTTGTTCCATACATTTTCACAGCCTCACTTCTAAGGGTGTAGTACACAAAGTTTTTGTTTTGTTTTTTCCTTTAACTTCCTTTTTCCTTGCTTAAGCTAATTGTGCTGGCCAGTGACAACTTAGTCACATGATAAAAACTCAACTTGAGTGAAGACAATGATGTTGGTCCTCCTTGAAAAGATAATCTTTCATTAAAAAAAAAAACAGGCACTGCAGCATTTTAGCCAAAAAGAGTTTTCAGTACTTCTCCACAGAAAGCACAAGCCCTCTGTTTTCAGTGCTCATTCAAACTAGCAGGGCTAGACTTCCTTGGCAAGGCTCAGCCATTTAACGTCCTGTCATTTTAGCAAGGATGTGTTTCCCAATGATGCAAATATTATACTACATACAATATTTATCAGTGCTATTCATCTTAACAAAAGATTAAATGGACTTGATTAGACTTCTGTTGTTTCCCTTCTGCTCTGCCTTAAGAAAAGTCTATGCAATAAGCCTAGTAACAAGAAGGATAGATTTATAGATTTTACCCTCCCCCCAAATCATTTTGCTGAAATAAATCAGAACAGTACGTTACCCGTGGATACATTACGTTCTCAATCTATTTTTGAAGTCCACAATGAGCTAAGGTAGAAAATACTTCACATAAAGACATGAGTTTAGTATTCAGTTGTGTTGCCTAGAATACTACTAATTAGCGCTCTCTGGGCATTTGAAACACACTTATGTTCCTAGCCTTAGAAATACTGTAACCTTTAGATGATTTGTAGGGCACAGTTCAGAAACAGTTTTCACCAGGTATCTATGATTACAAAATCTTAGACTTATACAATCCAGAGAACATTACAGTGCCTTCAAGGCCTCAAGGTAGGCATGTATGTAGGACAAAAACACAGGTTGTTTAGAGGAACTTTTAACAGGATGGAAACCCCATGACATTTCTAATCGGCTGGCATCTATAACACTTTTACTTCTTTGAATTTATATATCCTAAAAGGATTTTATATGCTCATTGTTCAAATCTAGAATTTGCAGACATGGACCGAAGGCATCTTGTTTTTCATGAGATTTTTCTACGGCTATTGCATAGAAGCCTTGCAATTTCTTACACTAGAGTTTTGCTAGTTTTATTTGAGTAAAAATGGCTCTCCAACTTTCATTGGATCAGTCATAGTTTTGAGGAATTTTTTTTTTTTTTTGTGCAATTCACATTTTAGAAACTGTTAAAAACAGGGCAGGACAGGACAAATCAGACTATCAGCTGCAAGAGTTCTTGGACCATCAGCTTCTAGGCTTTTGCCAGTAGTATATACAGCATGGCGAAACAGCACAGAAGGTATACAAAAGGAACTACACATTTGATTTATTAAATATTGCAGTAGTTTAAATCACCAGCACGATTATGTGGACAGAATTCCTTTCAGTAAGTACTACCCTTTTCCTTTCCCCATATGCTACTATTTGTATTCAAGAAATCTAATTGCTTAATACCAAGTGGGATGAATTAATGTCTCCAACATACTAATTTTTCAGCTTTAAAGGGAATGTTTAGCCTACCATTGCACTGCACCAACATTATTTTTAACTTGAGTTGTTTTTTTAATTCAATGCTGTATGCTCTACACAAATGACACACATTTCCTATAAGTCAGAAACTGCAAACCAAACAGATGGAGACACAGATGAAAAGAATTAGAATATCAGACTCCAAAAGTTGCTCTTTAAATCCTAGAGTCAGACCTCTATACTATTACCACACTGTAAGGTTCCTACATTTCTTTAAACTTCTTTCTGCTTTTCACATCACACTGAATCTTGCTACTGGGAAACTTCAATTCTAGCCCCACCTGTACAACAGGTGATTATAAACAGATTTACATGTCTACTTTAAAATTCTTCATTTAATACTACCCCATGTGTGAGAAGGATGAGGCCTCATGTTCTAAAAACTGTCTTTAGTTGGAGAAAAATTGCAGAATACTAGTGCTAAAGATTGATTCTGATTCAGTGCACTGCTTGCTGGAGAGCTTGCTAAATTAATGTTTAAGAAAAACATGAATGGGTATTTAAAGGGAATCAAAAAGGCCTTCTGTCTTAAAAGAGTATTGCAGTAGGTACTCATAGCCCTCAAAACAACACCTCCTTTGTACATGAGTGTTCTTTCTCCCCATCTTCATATTCTTCCTACAGCAGAGAAGATGAGTGTCAAATATTGTACTGAGGAAAGTATGGCTTTGTAACAGCTGAAATGTGATTCCCCATGAAGAAAACGGAAGAGAGAGAAACTAAATTCTACAACTCAAAACATATAGCATAACACACTCCACTGCTAAACACTGCTAAAAAATCCCCCTCCCATCTGCATTAGCTCTCTATATAGCAAAGGTTTTAGCTGCCAGTTTATAAAATTGTCTCACTGGAGTACTGGAAGAGAGAGAAGATAATCAAGACTTCCTTAGATATAATGAGGCTATTTCCACTTACAGAAAACTATATTTTCTTCAAAGTACTTTTAATTAATCTATAGCAATTATTCTGCAGAGGTACCCAAGGATCATATATTTCTGATACTATTCACTGAGAGTTGGCATCGAGGGACATTCTAAATCTTAACGTGATTTTAAAATACATAATTAAAATGAAGGTTCACTTTTTCATGTACCAAAGGACAAATCCAGGAATCAGAAACACAGAGGAGCTTATATAATCATCAAGGACAGAGGGAGCCAATGGTACTCCTTCAAAAATCGATCACTAGCATTTAGAACCCCAACCATACGAACATTTACAGATGAAATACTTGAGTATATCGATGAAACTACCCATTAATCAAAGTTAAGCATGTGCGTGAACCTCTGTAGACTCAGGGCTTAAAAATTTAACACAATGCTTTGCTCGGGAAAAGAAAAAACTAGTTTTATTGGAGCACAGTTATTCTTCAAGTTGCACATCTTTCACAGTTATTCTTTCAAGTTGCATTTCCAAAGACTCCTCTCTGGTCTTGAAATTATTTACAGACCTGGTAAGTACACCTCTATTACTTTAGACATCAACAACACAGCACATAAAACCACCAGATATTATCTAGTCACAGAAGCTGATCACTTACATGATCCTCAGTCCACTTTCTGGTCTCTCCTATCCAACGACCTCAGAACGCATTGCAAACGTAAAAGAACAGACAAGTGCAATAGTACGGGGGGTCGATCATTGCTGTCCCTACTACTAATTAGTGTAAAATAGCCCATTTCTATAACAAGATACGTCTATAAGCAAGACCCTTGGCATACGTTTTCATACTAGCAAATACCACCTACAAAAAGGACTTCACCTTGATTAGGAAGGGCTCACTACCTTGTGTTTTACCAGACACGAGTATGGAATATTCAGTTTTAGATTAAAAACAGCTGTCAGAGTAAAAACAGAGCTTCCCTAGCTGTATCTAACAAAAATTCGAAATCTCTCAAAAACTTTTTTAATGCACATTTTTTAAAAGCAGATTTTTCTTCCAGAAAACATGTATAATAGATTTTCTCTTAATATAAAGAGCTTCAACCAACACTAACTTGAAGATATATTCAAGAAGACGGCATTTCACACTGGAACTAAACAGAAAATCATATCAAAACTTCATTTGTCTTCAGTGCATGTTTAGTATGAATTACCTTAGCACAGACATGCAACACATGCCTGGCTTATTCGCTTACTGCTACACAACTACCTCTTTCAGAGGAAAATTAAAAACAACAAAGCAAAACACCATATTCCAACTCAATGGAAGAAAAAACCTTTCCTGAGACAGAGGAGAGAAAGAGAAAAATCAAGTACTTTGGTGCATGGTAGGTCACAGGAACTTGTTAGAGCATTGTTACAGATCACAACCTGAACTATCACAAAACAATGGGCAGTACGAGAGTTGCAGGCACCCAGCCAATTCAAGAGGACATGGGGTGGAGTAAGGAGCTGCTGTCTTTTCTCTTGAATATTCTCCTAAAACTATCTTCAAAGCATGAGATTTTGTCCCCCTCCAGAAAAAAACATAAATGAAGGGAATAAATATTATATGAAATAATCAATGAAGAGAATATATATACCACTGAGAACTGTCAAAATTAGTGTCAAGTTAAAATCTCAAAATGTATCGATTTAAGTTTCTTTAACCTAGAATGACAAATACTGCATTCCATGTGCTTCAGAAGAACCACACCTTCCACTCTCCATAACCTTTCTGCACCTGCTCAACTTTGAAAATTAACAGATTTGAAGATGACAATAACAGTATTGCCAACTAATTGGCGATATAACATATGACTTTTGCATTGTACACAAATACATTTTTTTTCTTTCTAATAATGGCTGACAGAAACTGTTAAGTTCCCAGAAGCAGCAACAGTTGCAAAAGGTAACTCACTGTTTTCACAGACTAGCTTGTTCAATAATGTTTATAAGAGTTACGAAAACCTTGTTGTGCTGCAAAGTATCCCACATTTGACTACTATTTGCACTTCCACTTTTCTTCAAAGCAGGCAGGACTGACCACTGCTAGAAACAACATTCTGGTGTAAATTGATCATGATTCTGAAACATCATAATTCCTCCCTTCAGTCTCTTGAACATTACATAGAAAGTGAACAGAAGCTTTGAAACACTCCTGTAATTGCTGCAAGTATAAAGTACTTCATGGCAATTAATAAAAAATATCTTCTCAGTGTTTATGAGTTCAGTGGTTGCAAAGTGTATTTTCATGGGTTTCTGCTACTTGTCTGGTTGAGATACAGTAGAAATTAATCACGGTGAGCAGACAAGTTATACCACCAAACAAATCATTATACTTTCTGCATTTACTCTGGGGTTGCAGGGATTTTGAATCATTAACTAGGACTGGGGAGGGCTGGGGCAAGGACATAGTATGTGGAACCTTTGCAGAAAGTCTGGCTGATACAGCTGTCAGAGAGCATATCTGAATCAGCAAGAAATCTGTACTATTCTTCCAAAAGAGAGAAGTACAATATCACTAAATGCCAGCTAATTATAAACCAACTGCTGGGCATAACTTCCCTCCTTTTGGGCAGGGCAATTCCCAAGAATATCCAAACATTACTGCCCACAGTTCCCTTCTTTACTGTAACTGATAATTGCAATAGGGCATAAGAAAGGAGAAAGGATCTCTGCGTTCATAGAGGATGAGCCTGAATATTTTAGCCATGTTGCTATACACTTTATTTGATTAGCACTGACCAAAGACAGCTACTGTAGTAATTCCCAAAGACCAGATCTTTTTTTTTTTTTGTAAATATTTACTACAGTGCAGTGAAAAATAATCATTTGTAAAAAAGCATGACTGCAGCCAATTAGAATTATTTACTTACCGGTGGGAAATCAAAGTCTATCTGGTTAGCTAAATTTAAGATGTAGTCGATTCGAAACTGGTTCTCTGGATTGGCTAGTTCAACTGGAGGTGCCAAATTGCCCATTGCTGTCACTATTGTCTGCAGAGAAAAAAAAAAGTAAAATTATTGCAGAGTATGTCTACAGAGCTAATCTTGAATAGTTAGTAATAGCTTGAAATATTACCTCTATAGCTTCTTTAATATTGTTCTTAATATCCTGAATTTTCATTTTCTTCTCCCTGTAATAATAATAAAAAAACCATACTAAATTTATAGGCCATACAAGCACAATATCTGTCTGAAATAGAACATGAAAAGCGTTCTATCAAAGCTATATTGTTAATACTGAATAAACTGCTCTCAGTACTGAACACTTTTGTAGATATACTTGATTAAATATCTCATACCTTTTCTGCTTAAACAGCAAACATCTATTTGTCTCAAAAAGTCAATATTCAATTATACTTAAATAAAAACTTACTGCAGTCTTTGACTGGAACTGAGGAATTCTACAAAATCAAATTCTGATTTATTTTAATGAAAAATAATAGAAATACCTGAAAGTTATTTAGCAAACATAAATTGGAAACAAGGAAACAAATAGAAAAAAAAAAAAGAGTAAGTTATTAAAAGTAGAAACAAATGAAAGCAGACCAAAGCGCTGTAAGTTACAAAAAAAATTAAAGCATAAAAATGATGTCGTATCAGAAAAAGCTAGAGCAGAGAACTCGACACAGACATTCAAACAGTTTGGATATAAAATCTGAAATCAATAGTGAAGGGCTAATTCAAATATGTAAAATTAACTACAAGCACTAAAGTAGGCTAGAAAACTATACTGAATGCTGTATGTGCACAGTATCATACAGGATTAACTGCAGCCAAATTACAATGTGTAATGGGCTCAAGCAAACTATTGCCTCCAGTCTATCTGTATGGTATTTTATTGCATGGCATTTGCAATTCTGACAATAGTTATTTTCAATGCTCAATAGTGCAATCAAATGAAATGCCTGATCAAACATTTAGTATAACCAAGAATTAGCTTTCTGAAGGTATGACTAGCACTGAGTCTGTAAACTGTAACTTAGTTGTAAAGCACCATGACAAAACTTTTATATTATTAATTTCTTGCTATACACAATATAAAATCACTGCTTTGAGGTAAACCAAGTTAGCCAAGTAATTACCAAAAAAACCCACCCTAAATTGTCTAAGTGACCTTTTAATCTTCATAAAACTGTTTTACAAAACATTTTAATTACCTGAATATTTATACCAACTGTTTCTAATATTTTTCACTTTGAGAACTAACATTTTCCAGAACAGTATTCCCAAAGACCTGAAGCTACCAACACTATGCTTTCTTTTTTATTCTTTACAAGGTAGTGCTCACACTTTCAATTTACAGACTACAGCTTGAAAATTCGCAATTTCATTAGTTAACTAACTCCTCATATTGTACATGCTTTACATTATGTTTCCTCTCTATAAATATTCACAAGCACCAAAACGAAACTGAAAGCACATTCACCAATGAAGAATGCAGAAGAAGAGCAGAAAAAAAAAGTACTGCCTAAACAACAAGGCAGACACGGATATCCAAGAGAGTGGAAGTTTTGGTTATCAAATGAAAGATTAATATAACTTTTGTAAAAGACGGGGTCAATGAAAACAACACCGTGCCAGCTGCATGCCACTCTGCCTTTCAGACGCGGGCTTGCAGGATCATACTACACATTCTACCGCTGCGAAAGCACGATTGCAATGCGAGTCCTGTCTTACAGACAGAAAGCAAACAGCAGCATCAAATCATCTCGTTCTGGATGACTTAGCTGTACTAGTGAACATGTATGAATCAGCAGCCAAGCCCTACCGAACAGAAATACGATTATCTTTAAATATCGGCTCCTCGTCACTGACCACAACGTGTATTCTCAAAGCTTTGGGGCAGGGCAAGAAAGGTCAGCGAAGCTTGATGCAGAAAGACAACAAAATCATCAATAGTCGGATGTAAATTCTTGGTTTCACCGGAATTCTTGGTCTACCCTACAGACCACCTTATTCCTCCTATTCTCTATCTGAAGACTACCAGTTTTTTGCTTCGGGGATTTGGCACTGCCGATGGGAACAAGGCAAAGAGCCAGGAGAGGCCAGAAGCAGTGAACAAATGAAAATAAATAAGACAGGAAAAAAGAGGAGAAACTGAGGCTTTTTCACCCTCTTCCTTCCCATCTTCAGTCCTTTCTCCTACCCCAGGACTTACGAAACTCTTCATTTCACAAACCCAGGCTTACAGTGGGTATAGCTTTTGGTTAGTGCACATATGGTTGTAAAAAGCCGATGTTTTTAAAAATGATGTTCCTTTAATTAAAAAAACAAAACCCAAAACAAAACAAAAGCATAAATAACTCTATGAAAGCAGGAAATGTTTATCATTGACACTGTACGCAATTTGTCTGGCTTGATTTTGCCTTCAGTTTTCAGCTGAACATGATGAACACATGCAGAGATTCTGTCCCACTGAGATCAAAAGGACAACTGATATGTCCAAAGTGAAGGAAGATACTAGCATTTTTAAAGGATTAAGGAAAAAACTAATATTCTGATATTTTGCTTTGTTTTGGAACATCAGGAAGGAACACACATATAGAAAGTTGTCTCACTTTTATGTCAACTGTAGTTAGATTTTTTCCCCCTAGAATTCTCTTGGATAACTTCCTCAAAGCTTTAGCTAAGTGCAAATTCCCATTCTTCCAAGTAATACAAAAAATGCAGTATTTTTATTAAAAGTTTTGGTCAAACTTTTATATTTACACCTCTTCACAGAGCCTCGCGCTCACAGCAGCACCGTAAAGCGATGATGAATACAGAGCGTGGTACAGCTCCAGCAATTAACAAGCTGCTTGCTAGCCATCACCATCTTTACACCAAGAATACTCATAGTTCCTATTTCTGGTTTTGTTGCCATGGCCCTATAGCATGCCCAGTAAACAAGGAATCTTATTACACAGCAAGGGATGTATCATGTCATTTTGTGTTTTGTAATGTTTACTAAGCATAAATTTTCCATGACAATGGGATACCTTATTCTGCTGAAACTCAGCATGTCCATCAATCATTCATCTAACAGCCTAGCTACACCTGTGACTTTTCTTAATAATAAAAAAAAAAAAAAAGGCTGTATGTGAAGAAGATGTTAACCAGGGACTAATGAAGCTAAGCTAATAAAAGCCAACCACCACCTCTGCTGCCCTTTCACACTAAGGTAGGACCTTAAAATTTCCAGAAGGAATTAAACTGGATTTTCCCCAACCACGAAAACCCAACATTCATCTTAGAAACGGATTCTTGCTTTTTCCTTTCTTATTCCCGGGTGCTGGCACACAATGGCGAAAACTAGGAGAGAAAAAAGCTGCTCTCCCCAGTGTGCTTCTCTGGAACAGCCTGAATAGATGCGAAATGCCACCGCGCTATCACGCCTAATGAGCTCCCGATGGCTCTGCAGGCCTGGTCTGTATCTGTAGATGCCACGGGTTAATAAGGTCAGATTTTTAATCTTGTTTAAAACTTTTGCTTAGGTTGCGTAGGGGAGGCCAAACAAAGCATTAAACTCTATTAGTTGAGGATTATAAGAAAAATCTCAAATCCTGCTGTTTTCAATATTTAAATGGGCCAAAGGAAAGCTGCACATAGCTTTCAGGAAAACTAATAAAGTCTATTTTAGGCACTATAAAAAAAAGATGACATTTTAATACAAGTAACATGAAATTAGAATGACATAAAAGGTCAGGAAAATCAAATATTCCTTGAAAACAAACCTAATCAGTGTTTAGTGAAGAACAATTCCACCTGTGGCTGAGCTTTACTATTTAAATGACAGCATTTTTAGTCAGACCATCAGATCTCATGCAATGAAAACATTACCAAACAGGTTATCAGAAAGCAAACTAAATTAATTTTAATGTTCCTGTCTGATTTACCTTCAGATAATAACAACTGCCCTTATTTAGAGAACTTAGAAAAAATATTTAAAGATTTTAAAAGTACTTGCCAGGAAACCAAGAATTCACCTCATGGGTAGAAAAGGAAACAAAATAACAATAAGGTGAAATGAATGGTTGAAGCAAAAACATGCCTTTTTTTTTTTTCTTAAAGACAAAATTAATCACAGATCTTCTGACCCCATTATGTCATTTATCTAAATTCCTGAAAGAGAAGAACTTTGCATGTCTTCATTGCTACTGACAGGTTAAGAAGCTGTACACACACCTTGCTGCAAACTTCTACTGCACAGAGTTCTGACAAGATGGAAAACAAAAATATAAAGAACTACCTAACTTAAATCAGAATGTAGTAGGGTGTTTTGTTTTTTTTTTTTTTTCCACCAGCAAAAGAAATAGTTATAAACAAAAATGAGGGGATACCCCACAAACTTACAGTAAGGTATCTGGAAAAAAAATCCAAAGCCTGTAGGACAACAAAAGTTATTTTTTTTCCTTTAGAAGGAAAAATAGAAAAAACATCGTTATCATTTTAAGACACACCAATTACCTACGTTAATGAGAAAATCATCACCTTCCTCCAAAATCCAGGGATTATATAGGAAACTCCACAGTTTAAACACCTGAATATTTTGTGAAGCATGCATTAGGCATAAATAAAGATAAAGACCACTGTGAAGAGGTGAATTTAATGCTGCAGGATACATCATTTGAGTGAAAGCAAAAAGACTTTGATCAGATAATATGCAACAGAAAACGGCTTTTAATGAGGGTAAATTATGATTGCCAATTAATCACACCATGAACAAGGCCTAAAAAAGGAACCTACCCTGCGACACGAGTACTTGAGGCTTTACAATGTGAATACAAAATATTTGAATGCTCTTTGCATACTGACGATATAAATGTTAAATAGTCGTTTTTGAAAAATGTCATTTCTTTCTCTGTTTGTCTTTTAAAACATTGTTTTGTATGTGCAGCCTAAGCATAACAAGTAACACCAAGCAGTGGTTTCAGTTTGTGTGCCTTCCTCCTGCACGAAGCAGAGCATCCAGCAGCACAGACAGAGCGCACGGGGTGACACGAGGACTCCTGCTTAAAACGACTGGCTTTTTACTGTGTAACAATCCACGTGCTTTAAAAATAGGTATTTATCCACATCTTTGACACAGCTCATGGATTTCATAAACATGACAAAATAATCGTTTACTACACCTTCAAGAGGTCAGCAAAAA